TGCATGTTACAGGCCAGACAGAGCAGTCCCTTCCCACCCAAACTGTTCTGTGATTGCACGTTACAGGCAAGACAGAGCTGCTGTTGGGAGGGGGATACAGAAGGGGCTTTCAAGGGAAAGTGCACTCTAAGCTTTCCTCTGAGATCACACTGCAGTGACTAAAAATTCCTGAAATTCGTAGGCCACAGCAGAGACATTGCACGTTGTTTGCTGGGACCTCTCCGGGGGTCACACCGAGGGGTTGGGTAAATCCCTGCTGTCAGCTCTTTGATTCTGAAACTCTCGTTTCCTCCTCTCACATGTCCTCATGTTCCTTTAATCACACAACTTCCTACTTCTTTTTTAAGCAAAAGCTGACGATGGAATTTTTTATCCTTTGTTGAGGCATGAAGTTTTTAAAAAGGGGAAACAAGAATTTTCTGCACTTGGGGCACTCGCTCAGCAAATACTGAATAGCACAGATCCACTCTAAAGCCCAAATATATATTTCTCAATTTCTTCCATGTTTTTAAGCAATTGTTGCCTTAATCTGAGCCTAATTAGTGATGTCTTGTAAACATCTGCCCCAGTTAAAAGCTCCTTTCTGGAGCTGAGATGCTTGGAACGAATTATGAGGGAATCTGAAATGCTAATCATTTTGTCTTGTCTCACCATCTTTTTAATTGTCTTCCTGCAGCCGGTGCATTAAAGCCATCTTTCTACTCTAAGTTTAGTAGTTTAAAGCCAAACAATGAAGTTAAGATCACAAATTTGACAGTCAAACAAGAAAAATCCCAATTTGGTCAATAAACCCCTTTTTTTTGTTGTTAAAGGTAAAGTAGGTGGCAGGTAGCACCAAGAAAAAGTTCTAAGCAGTGGTCCTATGATAACATTGGGGATTGTCTTTATTCCAGTCTATAGATCACAGAAGTGTCCATGGCTGGAAGCTGGTACTTAAATTGTTATTTGATTGTTATTTCCAGGTTCTACTGCAACTGAAGAATCATAGAATTGTCCAGGTTGGAAGGGACCTCCAAGATCATCTAGTGCAATCATCAACCTAACCCTGAAAGAAACCCTCACTAACCCAAGTCACGTCCTACTGCTGGTCTTGCAAACGTCCCTTACCATGGCTTTTTCATGGCTGGACCTACATATTCTCATCTTGAAAGTTCATCTCTTTCCATTTTTAATGAGCATCTTAGTTTTTCCCTTCTCTCAAAATGAGCATAACGTTTACTAGCAACTTTCTTGACAAGTCTACTGTATAGCATGCACTCCAAAGGCTCTATAATTACTCCTTATTTCCATACTGTTAATTATATTGCTGCTTTGCCAGTGGCAAGGCTCACCGCTCCTCCGTGCCCGCCTGTTCCCTCAGTCTCTAACCACCGAAACCACCACTTGAGATTCCTTACCAGGAACATACCAGACACAATTGCTGTAGCAAGGCCATGAAATACTAAACAGCAACCACATTTCTGGGTTGGTTTGGCTTGTTTTGGCGTCAGATTTTTGGTGATGTGCCCTAAACCTGCGAATGAGGAGCTGGGGAGATGAATCCTACCAAGAATCTATGGTTTCCTGAGCTCAGTGTCCCAGTCAGCGGGGACTCCTCAAGCCACTCAGCTCATCTTAACTAATACGTGGAGGAAATATGCTCTTTGAGCCAACTGTTGCTTTGGCAATTCCAAGTCTTTGACATTGCAAGACATTCCACTACCTACAGAGCCAAAATCCTAAGCATCAGATGTTGGAAACACGGAAAAAAGACTCTACAGGGGAGCGTTATAACTATTCATCCCGTAACAGAATTCCATCCTGTAACAGCTTATGAAAAAAACCTGTGACAACAGAACCTTGAAACTTCTTAAAAGCTAGTTAAACAGGCAAAAAACCCCCCCACTTTCAAGAGAAGTTGGGTGAATCGAGTTGTAGCCAGAAGACTTTTTTTCCTGAGGACCATCTTGATGAGAGTGACTCGCAAATAACTCAGGAAGGGAACCTCTCAAGAGAAGTTGGGTGAATCGAGTTGTAGCAGGAAGACTTTTTTTTTCCTGAGGACCATCTTGATGAGACTGAGTTGCAAATAACTCAGGAATGGAAACTTGCTGCCTCGTTAGTAACAGGACAGGCAGATACAAAAGGTAATTACCACGTTCTGCTTTTAACTGGAAAACAAAAAATGTATTTATATATACAATACAAATACAATTTTTATATATATAGACAAGCAGTCGAGTGTGAAACGTTCACAAGAGGAAAGGTATTATAGAAGAGCACTAGAGTGACAGAAGGAAGGCAGCATCCAGTTGAGCTGAGGACTAGGACTGTCATCAGAACATCTTTGCTGGTCATTTTGCTGCTCATCAAAAGCAGAATCCTGCTCCTGTCCCTTTCTGTAGCAGAAATTCCTACTTGTGAAATATGACGCTTTAGAAATATTACAAAAATTTCCTAAAATCACAGAATGCTATGGGGTTGGAAGGGAGCTCTGGAGATCATCTCCTCCAACCCCCTGCCACAGCAGGGTCACCCACAGCAGGTCCCACAGGAACGTGTCCAGGTGGGTTTGGAATGTCTCCAGAGAAGGAGACTCCACCACCTCTCTGGGCAGCCTCTGCCAGGGCTCTGACACCCTCACACCAAACAAGTTCCTCCTCATGTTGAGGTGGAACTTCCCATGTTCCAGTTTGTGCCCATTTCCTCTTGTCCTGTCACTGGGCACCACTGAAACCCCCATCTCTTTTGGGTTCTGAAATGATGATCTTTAAGGTCCCTTCCAACCCAACCCAAATATTGCATCAGAAAGGTCGGGGATGAGGAACCAGTACAAGCTTCTCCAGAACCTCCACCTCTGCTCTCTCTGCAAGAGGAGTTTCATCATTTTGTAGCATCTATAGCCCCAAAGCTTTTCTAACGCCATGGAAATATATGATAAAATTAGACAGAAGAAAAAAAATCCATTTATACAAAAGAACAAGTAGAGTCTTCTACATAATGAAGTACTCACTTTGGGTTATGGGGAAAAGAATCTGCTTTGAGGCACCGAGTTCTTGCAGCCTCAGGTTTGTTTAGATGAAAGGAACACCTTCTGGCAAGAGCAAAGGAGCAGCCAGTGATCCACCCAGCTTTAGGTGATGTCAAAGGGAGTGGGCGTAAGCCACACACGTGCCTTCCCAAGGTGGCACTCCCAAGGGTTAGCTCGGCTGCCAAGGCTTCTTCTCCCTCCCACCCACCTCTTCCAGTGGAGCTCTGCTAAAGAAAAATCACTTCCCACCCCACGCGGCAGAAACACTGAGCCATGATCTAAGGTGGCCTCCAGCAACCATGGTGTTCATCCAGCTGTAGTCAAAATGCATTTGCGTTTCAGGCCCCTTTTTTGGTGTCACCATCCCAGCATGCAAATGGGGAGTGCTGTTTGAGGTGGGAAAGAACATGATCACGGTATTTTGGAACAGATGGGAGACCAGGAAAGGCCCTTTTACATGGTGTGACCATTGTGCTGGAGGTCTCTAACCAAGCTCTAGGAGAAGGGGCTCACTTGCCTGGCCTGTGTCAGGAACAGCGTGGCGAGTAGGACTCGGGAGGTGATTGCCCCCCTGGACTGGGCACTGGTGAGGTCCCACCTCGAGGGCTGGATCCAGTTTTGGGCCCCTCACCACAAAAAAGACATTGAGGGGCTGGAGCGGGTCCAGAGAAGGGCAATGGAGCTGGTGAGGGGTCTGGAGCACAAGTCTTGTGAGGAGCAGCTGAGGGAGCTGGGGGTGTTCAGCCTGGAGAGAAGGAGGCTGAGGGGAGACCTTCTCAGTCTCTCCAACTCCCTGAAAGGAGGGGGTAGCCAGGGGGGGTCGGTCTCTTCTCCCAAGGAACAGGCCATGGGACAAGAGGAAACGGCCTCAAGTTGCACCAGGGGAGGTTCAGATTGGAGATTAGGAACAATTTTTCCATGGAAAGGGGTATCCAGCCTTGGAATGGGCTGCCCAGGGAAGGGGTTGAGCCACCATCCCTGGAGGGATTTATAAGCCAGGTTGACATCGTGCTGAGGGACATGGGTTAGTGATGGTTTTTATCAGAGTTAGGTTGACAGTTGGACTAGATGATCTTAAAGGTCCCTTCCAACCTGGACAATTCTGTGATTCTACGGTTCTAAGTGCACTTCCTTCTGGAATGACACAAATTCTCAAAAGAAAAGGCTTTGGACTAGAAGCAACCCTCCACTTACACCGCCAGAGAAGCAGGACATCCCAAAAAGAAATGCATCCTCGGAGTCACCTGGAACACACTTCACCTTGGTCAACAGATGCAGATGCTGGTCCCAAGATCACAACCGGATCCTCGGCACATTTCGAAGAGTCTGAGGACTAAGAATTCTCATTAATAACCACTGCAGATGGCACTGTACGTTCAGGCAAAGTCTCATCTCACACACTGTCACCCCCTCCAACTACGGTTTTGTTTTCAAATGTCAAAAAAAATAAAGTACAGACATCCATGTAGGCATAGATTATTATTATTTTTATTGCTCTCGTTAAAAAGTCAGTGTATGAATGATGGCATTACGCTGTAAAAATGCAACATTACCAAGCGCTCCGACAGTACGAGGTCCATTGTGACAAGGTTTTAAACGTGAAGCATGAGCTTCAGTATGGATTTCCAAATTAAAAAAAACCCCAAGCCTAAGAGGTAAATGGATTAATAATTACTGATTTATCTGGAATTTCAATACTAAGCAAATACAGAGTGGATTTGCGAGAACTGGACATATTTAAGACATGGCAGAGTCAAACAAAGCTTCTAGAGATTGAGGAGTAAATTCTCTTTTTCTTTTTTGAGCTACATAGAGGTATTTGTTCTGCGCAGGAGGTGAATGTTACAACTCTCCTACCAAACTACCCACAATGTGGCAGTGGGATTTGCACCAGAAAAGGAAAGAGTGAACCCAAACCCTTCCTGCGTTGCCAGTCCAAGAGAAAAAAAACCAAAACTGTGTGCTTGGAAGTTTTAAAAATAAACAGAAAAGGAAAGAGTGAACCCAAACCCTTCCTGTGTTGCCAGTCCAAGAGAAAAAAAACAAAACTGTGTGCTTGGAAGTTTTAAAAATAAAACCATCCATTTGAAAAAAAAAAAATATAATAAAAATCACATCTCCCAGGTGGATCTCCACCATCACAAACCACCGATGCCTGCGAACTCCAAACAAAACTACGGCACTCTTGCTCATTCCGAAGCAAACCCCAACAACTGGACATCCATGGATATTATTGCACTTGGAGCAGTGGTGCTTTAACTGGCCCGACAACTATTTTGATTGTATTAAGGAAATGAAAAAATTATTTTTTTCATATTTTTTTTTTTAACGTGTAATCTTACTCAAAAGATGCACAACGGGTGGGTGGGCACGGAGTACCAAACGAGGGGGAAAAAATGATGGTGGGCATTAGTTTCCCAGCAAAAGGATGTCTCACATCACACAAGAGATCAGAAATAAATAAGATGAAACTCAGAAGAGTCTGAATATAAATCCTTGGGTGATGCTGGAAGAGTCCCCAGCTTCACCAAACCCATGTCAGTGTGTGTCGTTAAGCACAATAACGCGGTTACTATATACAGTATCGGTACCAGATAATGCCAACTAACAAACCACTAAATTAATGATTGTTAAACAAAAGACATAGTAAAACAATGTACTTCTAAAAACAGATGGCAACCCCCCAGTGATGCATAGTTACATGTGATGAAGTCCAGCTCTCCGCAGTCCGATGGATCGACACCTTCAAGCAGCAGGAAGCGGTTTTCCGAAGCGTAAACAACTTAATTAACAGAACCCAGTCAAGCTGTAGGGAAATTACACTGCCAAAAATACCTCCAGCCCCAGCACAAAACTCTCTGTGGATGTTGCCACCATGGAGCTGCAACGGGGCACTCGTCCTTCCAAAGGTTTTACGCCGCCGTGTTTCCTCAAAGGACCTTCAGAAGGACGCGCTGTTGGACACGGTGGTGGATCTACGCACAAACCAACCACGTGATGGACACAAAGCACTTAGGTTAAGGAGCACTTGCTGAAGAACCCATGACACCTTTGCAGTGCCATGTGAAGTTTCTCCTGCTGGGTGTGAAGCGGCAGCTCATTGCTCGGAGTATTTTATGTACTAAGAAGAAAGAGCCTTCTCCTCAAGAAACCAGCTTCTCCGACACGGGAAGCCACCACGCCTCTACCTGGCTTTGCTGCAGTAAGGCATGTGCAATGAAGGTGGCAAGGCCAAATCCCCACGGATCGTGACAAAAAGACCCAGTTCTTCCCTTTGTTCCTCGCTCAGCTTCTCTGCCCCGTTACTGTCGAGGTCAGTCAGCGTCCATGTGGTGGTGCCTGGTGAGCAGAGGCTTCCCATCGGTATCACCCAGCTTCTTCTGCATCTCTTCCACTGCCTTCAGCAAAGCCGCTCGCTCCTGCTCAAGGGTGAGGATGGACTGCTTCAGCTTGCCTTCGTTGGTCAGTAAAAGCTCTACTGTGGCTTCGAGGTTTTGGATCTTCCCATTAGCCACCTTTCAAAGGAAGAAGAAAGGAGGAAGGGGAAGGAAAAAACAAAAAAAAAGGAAATTCATTAATAATTGAAACTAACTGTAAACTATTTTTGAGATACGTTAATACACATAAAATCATAGAGTCATAGAATCATTCAGGTTGGAAGAGACCCTTGGGATCATCGAGTCCAACCATCTCCCCTACTCTACAAAGTCCTCCCCTACACCATATCCCTCAGCACTGCATCTAAACGTCCCTTAAACACATCCAGAGATGGGGACTCACCCCCCTCCCTGGGCAGCCTATTCCAATGTCTGACCACTCTTTCTGTGAAAAATTCCTTCCTAATGTTCAGTCTAAAATAAGTAAAAATTCAGTAAAAAGTTAAAATTCAGTAAAAAGTAAAAATAAGTTAAAATTCAGTAAAAATACTTCCCAAATGATGAAAAATTGCAAAGGAAAAGGCAAGCATGAATTTTATTAGATCTGTGCACTTTAGACTGCAACTCTGGGTTTGCCTGTAACAAGAAACTTCCCTCTCTCAACTCGATTGCTTTGATTAGGTTCAGATCTCACGGGACCAGAATTCACAGCTTCAGCAAATGTTTGTTAGGAGAAGCTTGAAATGTCTGCTTCTTACCCTTGAAGTCCCTTTCTCCATCATGGTCAAAAGTTTTCTACCAAGTGTCCTGTTATAAAGCAGCCATAAACTGACTTCTTGAACAGTTAAGCAATGAATAACCCCTCCAGTGACGGGGTGTACTCTTTCTGAAAAGGCTGAGCATATTTCAAAATTATTTCTCATATTTTCTAAACAATCTGGACAACAGTTTAAAAAAAAAAAAAACAATCAAGAAGACTATGTCTTTATAGACAATGTATCCCATATCTGCTCTATCTCTAAACAATAACACTGGCATGAGCTTTCCCATTTGTGATGAAAACATAAAAATGAAGTTGAGCAAGCACTTTGTGTATTTTCAATCATCTTCTACAGCTCTGATTTTAATTACAAGAGAGGAGACAGTGTGATGAATCAACCTTTCACTTCATTTCACGTATGCTCCTATCCACCCCTCTCAGAATTTCCTCTGCTTTTAAACTTTAAAGGTTAAACTGAAATTGCAAGTGTCTATGCTTTAATATCACTAGACCAAACACCAGTTTCTTCTGAACCTTGGTGTAGGACGGTCTCTTCTGAAAAGGTGGATGAATTAGTGTTAATGAAATATGAAATACAGGACGGTCTCTTCTGAAAAGGTGGATGAATCAGTGTTAATTAAATTATGAAATAGAAATTGTACCTGCAGTTCTTCCAGGAGATCAAAGTTTTGCTTGCGCAAGCTACTGTTCGCCTTTTCTAATTTATCCAGTCTCTGATTGTCATTTAAAGACGAATCTATAAGCTCATCCTGAAGCACGTGGTATTCGACTTCATAAGCCTGCAACTGCTTGGCAATATCCATTTCAAACACCTGTTGTATGTAAAAATATTATTAGGTGCTGTGCAGATCAAACCCACAGTTCATTCAATGCTTTCAAACCCCTGCATCCGGACTTAGATGTATAATCACTACTACATAGGAAAAAAAAGGACCTCATTTTTTGGTGGTCACATTCCCTACTCTGGAAATGACACGACTGAAGGAGCAGAATGTATCAGCATTGGATCTACTGAAAAACTGTACTCATTTGGTGCCTGACTTCAGCAAAATCACTTAACACGGGAGTTTTGGGGGAGCGTAGACCTCGGAGGGTATTCCCCCCCTTTTTTGACATTTCAAATTTAATGCATCTCAGGTTGGCTTGAAGCCCCCAAGAGATATTCAGAATTAGATGTCACTTTTGACAAGCGTGGTCCAAGCCCACGTGCCACACGTACAAGTGTAAGGCTTAGCAGAACAAAAGTGTTAAATGAAAAACCAGCAAACGTTGCCAGGTTTATTTACAATTCTACAGAGTTCCTAGAGACTGAAAGAAAATGAAATAATCTATCCTTGCACTAATCCACTTAACAGAAACATCATGTCATGTCAAAGCAGATTTCTAGTATTGTTAACTATGAATCACTGAAATGAGTGCTCAATCTTATACATGAATATTAAGAAAACCTTACATTTTAAAAGCAGATAAATAAATCGAGGCACTCAAAGTGCCCCAAAGGAAAAAACTGCAATTGTATTTATTTCCCTTTTTCTAGGTGTTGGCAAAAAAATGGCTTCAAATTATTCAGAAAATACGACCCTAGTGTCCTTGAGCTAGTTACCTCCTCTGAAAGCCATGAAGGTGGTAAAATAAAAGGACAGTGTGCCAACCACAGAATATAAGAGAAACAAGAATTGATTTTAAAATGCATCTGGAAAATGGCCGAAGAAAAGAAGTTCAAGGGTTATTCTTAATTTCTAAACCTCTTGTGCCTCATTCCTTTTGGAAATGAGGCAAATATCAAATCCTCTCTTAAACATATGTTTAAATAACAATAATTATTTCCTGTTTTATTTACCTGCTTTGTCTACAAAACTTTAACTGTTTGTTATCGTTAGAGAAAACATCAGTTTATGAAATGTTTCTGCCACCCATTACATATGCCATAAAGAATTCTCTCATAGTTTTATGACAGCAGAAACACATACTGAGCATCTGAGTACAGAAAGCTTAAATACCATTTTAACTGGAGTTTAGTCACACACAGAACTCTCATTTTCTGTGGGTCTGAGCATCTCTGGAGAACACACGCTGTTGAAACATCAATAAAATAAATCCTCTCATGGCCTTTGCCACTTCTGCCTCTGTGCTCTTGAGGAGGGGGGAAATCCCTGCTCTCACACCCAGAGCACCAGATCCAAAAGGGGGAAACATGAGGCAAATCAAAAGCTTGACTTGAAAACTAAATAACTGAGGTCTAAAACCTGTCTTTTCTTTCCCTGCTGCAAATTAGATGTGTAACCTACTGAACCAGCACCACAAACACCAGTATGGACAGTCATAGAATCATGGAACAGTTTAGGTTGGAAGGGACCCTAAAGCCCCCCCAGTGCCACCCCCTGCCCTGGGCAGGGACACCTCCCACCACACCAGGTTGCTCCAAGCCCCCTCCAACCTGCCCTTGAACCCCTCCAGGGATGGGGCAGCCACAGCTTCTCTGGGCAACCTGGGCCAGGCTCTCACCACCCTCACAGCAAACAAGTTCTTCCCCACATCTCAGCTCCATCTCCCCTCTTTCAGTAACACAATACACCTCTGTGGTTTTCCTGTCAAGAACTTGATAAAAAAGAGCACTCCTTCGCATTCTACTCAGGTGTTCAGATTATTTCATACCTGACTAATGGTCTTTTCCATCTGTACCAAGCCCAGGTTGGGGAGAGTGCTTTTAATAAAATCAACGATAGTCTCTAGGTTCTCGTGCTGCAGAATCAAGGGCTTGTGACTTCCCAAAAGGCTTAAAGCCACTTTAAATATAGCCTCTGATCCTTGAAGAAAGAGCATATCTGTGAAAACAAAAGAAAAAGGAGAGTCCATTAAGTAAGCACATCTTCTGACAAGGATATTACACCAGCAAAATGCCCAAGGGCAACAAATTCTCAGAGGAGCATCTGGAGGCCAGATATAATGTGCTGTTGTTACTGTGGCTTTGGAAGGTTTATAGGATCAAGATTCTTTCTGTGAATAGCACACTTGACTAACACAGTCCATTATTAATTTGTTTAGTGAGTTTTCATTAAAAAAAAAAATCCACTTAAAATTTGAGCTAAGTACCCAATAACCCAGGCAGTCAAGACTGCCAGTGTTGCCCCTAGTGTTGTGGGCCTTTTTCTTCTGAGATGTTCATGGCAATCTGAATTTGAACAGAATCCTAATCCAAATGCCATTTAAAAATCCTAATACAACAGAGAAAAACGACACCTGAAGACACAACCAAAGACCTGGAGTTCTCTTCTCAATTTAAAAATCCTAATACAACAGAGAAAAACTACACCTGAAGACACAGCCGAAGACCTGGAGTTCTCTTCTCTTGTCTTCTGGTGGAGAAAGCTACAGAATCTCAGTGAATACAACACAGAGCACTTGCCAGCAGCCTCAAGTTTCACGTGCTTATTTTTAGCACGTGCCTCAACCCCTTCTGTTAATATTTTAATCGCTCCATCAATAAGTACCTTGAAATCTCAGTGAGATAGTTAAAGTGTTAATATTGCAGGTGGCCTCGCGATGACGGCACCTGGCACACCCCCAAGCGTGCTGGAACCAGAGTTTAGAGAGACCTTTCAATGCAACTTCCTTCCTTTTCTTTTCCTTTACAAACTGCCTATGTCTTTATAGAGGAGAGAAATATCAGACTCCAACAAAAGGGACTCGCTACAGGCAACAACATCGACCGCATGAAACAACACTGATGGAGGTGGAAAAGGAAAAGAAGACACTGTGGGTTTATTCCCATATTTCCTAAATATATTTTTATTTTTCAAGGGCTTCTTTGTATTCCTTCTTTGTATTCCCTTCCCTTCTTTGTATTCCAAGCTGTGAATGAAGTCAATCAGTTGCAAAGAATCATAATGATCCCCAAAAATGTGTCTTAATGACCAAGAAAAAAAGAAGAATAAAAAGAGGGAGAGAAAAAATCTACCACACAGTAAGGGAAATAACTACCAGCAAAACCACAGCTATCTCTGATTTAGTAAAAAACATACGAAACCCCTGGCAAACTGCTTTTCTCAGTAAAAACAGCCTCTCTTTCCAAATTTGTATCAGAATGAAATTCCCCCTTGCGCCCCTTTATGCCTGTAATGCTGAAGCCGTAACTCATTTCACTTCTCTCTCTTTCCCTCTGAAACAGAAAAGCACAAGTAAGAACTAATCATGAACCTTGCACTTTGCTGCCACTTGTCCTAAGAGGGGTGTGCAATTTTTCAACGCTGATTCACTGTGAAATCCAAGGGCGGGAGTGACTGAAAAGTGGTAACAGAACAGGTATCTGCCTCAATTCTCCACTGAGACTGAAAATGATGGGTAAAGGGTAAAATGGGTTTTAAAGGGAAAGCATTTCTCAGGACAGGAAATGCTGGAGAAGAGCTAGAAAACACAAAGTGAAAAAAAAACAGCTGAAAATAACGCATATTCGTTAAAAAAATCAAGTTTTATCGACAATCTTGAAAGAAAATAAATACTATTCTACCAAGTCTCCTCCGTTAATAAATAAATAGGGGTACTAAAGAACAATCTTTGTTAATGCTGCACTTTCAGTAGATCCTGCTTAGGAGAAGTGTTGGAAGTTTGGGCAGATAATTAAAAAGTCAAAAGGAGTTTTGCTGTTTGACTCACGAAACTCTCTTTGGGTTACATTGCTGGTAAAATGCTTGCAAAAAGTACACTCTACGGAAAACTGAAGGCCCATAACACTTATATTATTAAATAGCAGTGGGGCTTCTGAAATCCAGGGTTAGAAAATGGCAGTGCCATCTCAGAGTCTTAGAAACTTATTGTTACTTTCTAATGTAAAAGAATGTCCAATGTTCTCGACTTATGTAGTTCCAGTCAATACTGTTTTAAGGAAATTACTAAATACTTTGAAACATTAAAAACTGCAAGTGTTGGACACGCTGGATTTCCTCTCTAACAAACTGCAGAGATTTTTGAGAGGTGACACACACACTCTTCTGTTCTTCACCTACAATCAGTCCTGTGAAGATCATGTATTTAATGCCTTCTATTCTCATGTAAGATCTTTCCTTTCTAAAGCCCCGCAATCCTCCGGTGACAGATAAAACACTAATCTGTGTATTAAGGCAGAAATCCAAAGATACTGGGTACACAAAGCACTTTCTATACTCTCACTGCAGCCAACTGTCCAATTCCAAGACAATATTACAATACTACAAATGATTAAGAATAATTGAAAGATGAATTGACTATAAACTCAGTACATGACACTCACAGACAGATGATTTCTGGCAGCTGGATACTTGCTGATGTATGATAGCCTACTCTGAACTGTTCCAGGAAAAAAAAAAACCACAAAACACCTCTGTTTTCCCTGAAATTAAGATGTTAATCCCAGGATATGTAGTTCTCCTTAGCTACACACCACCCTTTTCACCACAATTTCTTCTATTGCTACTTTTGGCATATCCTTAAACAGAAACAGGACATGATTCTTGTCAGTTCTTCTTGGATTCTCTATTCATTATTTGTTATTGTGGTAGATAAGACTATATCTTTTTAAGTCAAGAAAGTGTTGATATTAATACCCTGATAAATAATTGCTTCATTGCATCTCTCAAGTGAGACTGACTAAGGAAGATGAAAATAGCTTCTTGTTAGAAGATAGGAATCAGGGGGGGAGAGCTCCAATCCGCCCTGCTAATCACCGACAATTCTGTACCACATTGAAAATAGCTTCTTGTTAGAAGATAGGAATCGGGGGGGAGAGCTCCAATCTGCCCTGCTAATCATGGACAATTCTGTACCACATGAATGAAACTGAAAAACAAACAGCTGAAAAGGAAATAAAGCACCTTCTCAAATACCAAACAATAAATCTGTGAAATAAGCATCCGTAAGACAACATCAAGGTAAATTCTTAATTGGAATTTAATTAAAAAAAAGAGAACTTCTGTAGATTCTAAAAATAGGGCACATAAGCAACTTTAGAGAATGAACTCCATGTGCTTCCAAACATTTCTGGAAGGTGAGATTATCAGCCAGGCCAAGAATGTAAAGATAAGAAACACTAATTTAAAAGCCCTATGCTTCTGCAAAGTAAATCTCTGGCTAAACTGCAAGAGCCATCTCTGTGTGCTTTAAAAACATAACCCTCAAAATAATTTTCCGCTGAGGCTGTTGGAGACAATGATAATGGATGTATTCCTCGGGTGATGCCTTTGTTTCATCTCTTTTCAGCTTAGAATCATAGAATGGTTTGGCTTGGAAGGGACCTTAAACATCATCATCGAGTTCCACCCCCCTGCCCTGGGCAGGGACACCTCCCACCAGCCCAGGTTGCTCCAAGCCCCCTCCAACCTGCCCTTGAACCCCTCCAGGGATGGGGCAGCCACAGCTTCTCTGGCCAACCTGGGCCAGGCTCTCACCACCCTCACACCAAACAAGTTCTTCCCCACAGCTCAGCTCCATCTCCCCTCTTGCAGGGTCAAACCCTTCCCCCTCCTCCTAGGGCTCCCCTCCCTCATCCAGAGTCCCTCCCCATCTCTCCTGGAGCCCCTTGAGGGACTGGAAGGGGCTCCAAGGTCTCCCTGGAGCCTTCTCTTCTCCAGGCTGAACCCCCCCAACTCTCTCAGCCTGTCTTCACAGGAGAGGTGCTCCAGCCATCGGATCATTTTGGTACCCCTGGCTTGAAACTAACTCATTTTCAGTCTTGAAGCATTGTTGTCCTAACATCATGGCTTCATGGCACCAAATTTTATATCCTCTCCACAAGTGGTTACAGGGTGGGACAAGGTAATAATGAGGATGAAAAGAGAACAGTTTGGGATGTCACACGCTTTCCTCCTCTCTCTTTCCATTTTACTGTAAAATACCACACACTCCATAAAATGACCCCTTTTGTTGTGCTTCTGTTCATCGTCAGTAAATAAAATATTTCTCCTGGGTGTCTGAAACAGGTTGGATACTGATGCTGTTCCTAATAACAGGATTCCAAATATACGACTTTGAAAAGAACAGAGAGAAGTTTTATGAAGAATTACCAAACACTCTGGCTACAAATCCGAGGGGGAACTGGGAGGCAAACATGGTGAGGAACCAGGGAGCAGCGTAGAGGCTGGGGCCGATCTCGTGTTCCTCCAGGTGGTTATAGAGATCCCGGTGGTAGTCGTGAAGCAGTCGAGAGAGTTGGTACATCTGGATCTGCACAGGATAAGAACAAAGAGACAAAAGATAAATGATTTTTAACACTCTTGACAGCAAAGTCCATGCCTCACACTCTCATTAGACACAGTGAAAGATATTTGTTAATTGATGTTTGGACAGAATTGTGTGAAGAAAAGAAGGACTCAGAAGCCACCTAAAATAGAGGTGACCAGGACAGATCTCCTGGCAGCCTACAACAGGCTCATCTGAACCTCATGAAACACATAACAGAATTCTTCCTATTTGGGGTTTTCGTAGTTTGAAATTAAATTCACTTGTCATTTTTGAGAACTGAATTTAAGTTCAAGTCCCGATTTTGACAACGCTATCGATATCACGTTATTATGATTAACCATTAGCATCCTTTCATTAGAAAAACTGAAACCACACCTGTAAAATTGTCATGTCAGGACGATATTGCTTCCTCAAGCCGATGTCAAACATGAGGAACTTCAGCATTTTAAAAGCATCTTCTTCACTCATATGAAGTAGTAAAACCCCTGCTACAAAACTCAGGCCCTGGCAATATCCCACTTCCTGGTCCAGAAGGGAATAGGCCTTCAAAATGTTGTAGAGCGACAGTTGCCCAGCTCCCAGCTGCGCCGAGAAGTACGGATGGGTTGGAAATGTGCGCCCTGTGGAGACAGCTCAAGTTAGCAAGTAAAGAAACCAACCCAAATCCTTGGCATGTTATCAAATTAAACAGTCTTTCAAAAAACGTGAACTTTTTTTGGAAGGTAGATTCCGAGTCAACCCACAGAAAGACCGTAAAAGAGCTAACAATAGAAAACAATTGGCTCTTACACTCTGTTTTGTTACAGTATTTGCAAAATTAATTTAGAAATTGTCAAGGAGTGGGGACAATCTGTTGTTCAGAACAGCTCAGTAACTGGTCCTTAAGACTGGCCCTTGATCAGTTTGTTAAAGGTTATAGGGGCTGGTTGCCTACGATGGTGGGAGACTTGATTCAATGGATCAACAAGTCGCCCAGTCCTCTTTTCTTCATTAGAATCATGGAATTGCTGAGGTTGGAAGGGACCTTTCAGATCAAACATTCAGGTGAATTATCTGCTGACTCTCCTCACCTTCCTCAATTCATAGAATCACAGAATTGCTGAGGTCGGAAGGGACCTTTCAGATCATTAAGTCCAACCATCAACCCAACACTGACAAAACCCATCACTAACCCATGTCCCTCAGCACCACGTCTGCCCGGCTTTTAAATCCCTCCAGGGATGGGGACTCCACCACCGCCCTGGGCAGCCCATTCCAAGGCTTCATTACCCTTTCCGTGGAGAAATTTTTCCTAATATCCATCCTAAATCTCCCCTGTTGTAACTTGAGGCCATTTCCTCTTGTCCCATCACCTGTTCCTTGGGAGAAGAGACCGATCCTCCCTCTCTACATCCTCCTTTCAAGGAGTTGTAAAGAGAAAAACATATGTTCTTGCAACACGTGGTTTTATTATTTAAAGAGCTTTCAAAAATGAAGCTAAAGAGGTCTCGCTAACATTGTCTGAGCTAAAGTTGCTCACGCTTGAATTGATGCATCTTCAGCTGTAGATGGTGGCTCCTGAGGAGGACAGCAGTGTGCATCTGGGCAGAGGGAAGGGAACAGCAACCACCCTCCTGGCCCAGTTTACAGGTCACAGTGCTATTTAATACCCAGACAAGAACAAAGCCACAATTCCCTGAAGGCTTTTCTCTGTATTTCCTTTTTGTATTTCCACCTGCACAAACTGGGGCTTTCAGGTCCTGAACACAGGAGTCATATTCAGTAAATGAGTTCATCTCTCACTAAGGCAGGGTAAACTGGTTTCCAGATGCTACCAGTGTAGGAGACCACTGTACTTATCACTGAGTGGTTGCCAACAGATTAGAAAAGTAGGTTCTCTTTTATGGTATTTCAAAAATAAAGTAGTAGCCACTTCACTTCCTCATTCTGGCACTCCTGAGGTATTACTGTTCATTCAGAGTCTCTTTTCAGCAGGGCCAGGAGTTGCTTTGCTCCTGAGTAAAAGCTAAAATTCTTAGTTAAGTCATCACCAGGGTGCTCAGAAGCAAAGCAGCTGGGGAGTTTGGCAGTTTCCTTCCATCTATCGTTTTTTAGAACCTCTTTGCATTTTCATTCTTGTAACTTTTCTTCATGACTGACACGAAAGGAGCTTTGCTGCCTCCGGACTCTGCTGTAACAACCTGTCCTTAGGGCTGAGGATTCCTTTGCAAAGAAACACAAGTTCCTTCTCATTTGGAAGCTAGAAATATGGTTTTTTTGATGCAAGGTTCAACTTTGGAACTGAATGCCAGCGTTCCAAGCAACAGGCCAGAGCAACTCCCAGGTGGCAGAAGGACTCTGCCCCCTGGCTTTGTCTTCTTCAAGCAGGAGCTCTGATATTATCTGGCAGCGCATCTACATTCCAGGAGCTAAAGGGTGGGGTGGTATTTGACAAGTGGGCAACTGAAAAACAAGCTCCACTTAATACCAGAACAAAAGAAGTATTCAAATTTCTTCTCTGAGGTATTTCACTGAGGAAATCCGATAGGTGGAGGGGTTGTTTTTTTCCTAGAAATAAAAATATTCCCTTTTGGAAAAGTTTTAGGGGGAAAAAAAAGATTGGAAATCCACTTATACTGCCTGTTACTGTGCAGCGCTGCTCAATTTCAATGAGGATCACTTAAAACTGCTTATTATTATTCAAAAAAAGCTTCTTTCATAATTGTTTTAATACAAGGAAAAATACCTACTGCTTACAACTACCCATTAAAAAAAGGGAAAAGAACCAACAAGCGAAACCTTTGCATCATTTCAAGTACAAGTGTTTCAGAGACAACAAACACTGGAGATCATGACTGAATAGCACGTGTTATCCAACAGTCTGAAGATCAATATTGCCTGCCTTTCTTGACAATTTGTATTCCACGGGCCTGTGGGGCTCACTGTCAATATCTGAAATGCAGATTCCTTACAATTACACCTATGTAATTACACCTTCTCAAAATAAGTGTGGCCAGTAGCTCCAGAGAGGTGATTCTACCCCTCTGCTCTTGTGAGATCCCACCTGGAGCACGGTGTCCAGCTCTGGAGGCTTCAGCATAGGAAGGACATGGACCTGTTGGAGTGAGCCCAGAGGAGGCCACAAAGGTGCTGGGAGGGCTGGAGCCCCTCTGCTGGGAGGACAGGCTGAGAGAGTTGGGGGGCTCAGCCTGGAGAAGAGAAGGCTCCAGGGAGACCTTGAAGCCCCTTCCAGTCCCTCAAGGGGCTCCAGGAGAGATGGGGAGGGACTCTGGATGAGGGAGGGGAGCCCTAGGAGGAGGGGGAAGGGTTTGACCCTGAAAGAGGGGAGATGGAGCTGAGATGTGGGGAAGAACTTGTTTGGTGTGAGGGTGGTGAGAGCCTGGCCCAGGTTGGCCAGAGAAGCTGTGGCTGCCCCATCCCTGGAGGGGTTCAAGGGCAGGTTGGAGGGGGCTTGGAGCAACCTGGTGTGGTGGGAGGTGTCCCTGCCCAGGGCAGGGGGGTTGGACCTGCATGGTCTTTAAGGCCCCTTCCAACCCAAACCATTCTGTGATTCTATGTAATTGTCTCTTATTACCGCTTGTTGTGAAGGACCTCTGTGCTTGAAATGTAGATTTTGCATTTTCTTATGATAACAGTTCTCACTTTTACCAGATTAAAAGCAGTTCTTACCAACAACCTATAATTAAATGCTGAGAGGCTTTTTGTGTGTTTACCTTCTTTTATTTCATTCTCTTCCTGAGATCATAAACCCCCTATTTCAAATTTCAGACCAGTGCTGTACTTACCGAGGTCAATAAGGATGGCATGTTGCTGGGAAGTGAGTTGTTTTAGGAGCTCTTTGTAAGGCGTGTCCTTTGGTTGCTGTTTGCTGGGAAACTGGTGTTTAAGATGATATTGCTCTGCCAGAAACTTCCAGATCTCCCCGCGGTGGTGACGTGGGACCCCTGAGAGAAGTCAGGGGTTAGAAGAGGGATCTGTACTGGTGCTAAGGGTTCAGCTATAGTTGAGTTAACAGGATTGAGGAACTGGAGATTCCTATCTGCTAGATCCATCTCTGTTATCTCCAGTAGACCAGAGAAGCAAATCAAACTACATTCTTACACTTCCTCAGCCAATTAAAGACATCAGCATCTTAATGGGAGAGATTTAAGATAGAAACAGGACTCACAAGTTTTCTGAGGGTTTCTCACTTACATCCAGTCTGAGGAGAACTAGAAGAGGCAGCGAATACCTGTCTCTGAAATGTTATATGCCTATCTCCCATTTTTCCATGTGAAGTGCACAATAGAGCACCACAACAGAATTAATTAACATTTTTCACTAATACAGCACTGGCACTGTTAGGAGTAAGTTTGGGGAAGGTAGGACACACACCTCTCAAAAGTATAAATGAGTACAAACAAGGTGCAATCTAAAGACTAGAGCAGAAGGCAGGTAATCAGAATGAAGTTCTGCTCTGTTTCTAGTTCTGCTCTGAGTTGACTGATACTTGTAAAAATGTTTTAAAGCTTGAATTTCCTTCTCTATAGAAAGGGATGACTCTACTTAACTATTTCACACAGGTAATGGCAGCCTTCCTTTCTATCTATATGCAAAGCTCTGAAAGTAACAGAAAGGTTAAAATGTATACTTTATTCAGCACAATACCAGGACTATCAAATCATCCACACAAGAAATCAATATATTATTGTTTGGGAAAGTATTCTATCTAATCCACAATGTACTGGAACCAGACATTACAGTTTGAACTAACTTACGGTTTAAAGTTTTTTTTGGAATGCTCTTTTTCTTTTATGTAACACATGGATGACAACAACAATAGGAGGAATCAAAATTAACTCAAGCATACGATTTACATGGAAAGGCAACAAAACATTAAGCAATTTCACTGCTTTCTATAAGGCAGGGCCTATAAGCACAGAAGGATGTGCATTTATCTCTGCAATACTTATTTTTACTACACTATCCTAATCCAGAGACAACTGCTTGAAAATGAAATGCTAGTAGAAATGGGTAATATTATTTTGGGAAACTTAGACCCACTTATTGGAAAAGTCTCCAACATGAAACACTGAGGGGACAGTCATGTTTTGGACACTGAACAAGTCAGGATCTCCTCTTCAGATACACATCCATAAGCTTCACTGGGGCTGAACGTGTCATATAGGGTAGAACTGGCTTAATAGTGCACATTTACAGCTGCAAAATTACACATGAATTAAAATTCCCTTTAAGGAAATAGTCCACTATTAAGTTTATCTCTATATGCTGCATCGTACATGTAAAATAAAATTTCCTACTTCCTAAATGAAAGATGCACTATATTTCAACACCTACTAAAACATAGGTCAACACTATCTATTTGTTATCCTAATTTAAGCCCCATGCTTACTGAAGCCTGCATTTCTTACCTCTTTGCCTTGCTTACTCAAGTTATTTTTAATGGTTTTGGTCTAAAATAGAATTTGCTAAACTCAATTTTAGTGCAGTTTGGATTTCTGTGTACGTATGAAACTTGACATCACTTTGCTCTAAGAATTTGGACACAACTGGGCTCCAGGGAGCAGAGCATAACGATGGCATCAAGAGGTTGGGATAATTTCCTCATCTCCTGGCTACTTCTATGTGCTTCTCATTAGCAATCCACCCTTAACCTACAGGAGTGGAAGGAATCCTGTGATAATAAACCTTCCTTATTCTACAGGGATTTGTGCTTGAGGGGTTCAGTATTCCTAGAAATCTAGACTTACCCGCTCATCTTAAATGGACCGTTTGGTTTAACTTGCTTGAATAATTGCACATAGGCAGGTGCAATATTTAAAATATTAAATTTCTGCTAGGGGTGAATGCTTGACACTTCCTTTACGCGTTGGAAAGCTTTGTATAGAGCTACAGAAAGCTCCTTGGAGTAACCACTGGCTACACAACACCGAGCAATAACCCAATTTCTTAGAACATTTAAAAACCATCCTTGGCTTACGTTCCTTTCGATGGAGAGGAAATCAGATTGCAACAACTGTAACAGACAGAGGTACTGTACTACTCTCCTGTAAGGACAAATATTACTCCAAAATGAGTACTAAAATGAATATTCCAGCTACTGCTGAAAGGGACCAGTACTTGCATACACACAGCTTGGTTAGTCACAACCTGAGGAACAGCTCTAGTGAGAACCTGGTTGTAAGGAGAGGTTAAAAGGTCACCTTATAGCTTCTGGAATACAATTTATCATTTTCAACATCTCCCAAATAACAAACTGTGCTCACCTTGCCCAACAGCGGAGTGTATTTTTTCTGCATCAAATTTAATCTTTGACCTTCCAGGTGTACTCAACATTTTTTCCCAAATCAAAGTCACATCTTTTAAGCACGGTGTGATTTCTTCGTAGTCGAGTTTCAAACGTCTGTTCTGCAAATTGTTTTCTGAAGCTGGGAAGCGACAGAACGAAGGCACTAATTAATATAATTTACTTTTGTAAAAATGGATTAATTTAACTTAGAAGAACAATCCACCAAAAATTAAAACCTATTAATTCTGAAACATCACATGTTTAAGCTTCTGTGATTGTGGTGTGTTTTGGTTGTTGTGGGTTTTGTTGGGTTTTTTATTTGGTTGGTTGATTTTCAGATTTATTTTGGTTTTAAGATATTACATGCAATATTAAATGTGCTTGGCCTGTTAAATTACCTTCCCTAGAGCTAGTCGCCTCTTAAATGTAAAAAAGCCTGACAGGTAATGACTCATGAAACAAACACAAGTTTTCCTAAATGATTTTTCAGGTTCCCAGCTCTTAAAAGAAATTAGACCCACATGAAATAAAAATACAGACCCAATATAGGAATCTGTTTCTTATGGCATTCAGCTCCATAGCAGTAATGACTAAATAGAAAAATGACTTTTAAAGGTGATCATTCACACGTCCATTTTTAAAGACCACATAAAAAAGAAAGTTCAGTATAGAAAATTACAGAACCCTGAACACAAATAGGACCATAAACGCTATATATACTCTCAAAGTGTTCACTGAAGAAATCAGAACAAGGGTCAATGTATAACTCAGCCTTATATTAGATGTTTTAGATGCATTGTAGTATTGGTGATTTTCTCAGATTACAATTTATAAGAATATTGCACCGTGATGTCATGTTATCTAAATGGGATTAAAAAAAATGAATCAATAGTCAGGAAAGGTTCAAAGAACCATGGCAAAAATGGAAATTAATTCTGTGGCTGAGTGTTAACTCCAAAGCTGCAAAGTGGAATGAGAATTTCAAAGGGACTCCTGGCAAAGCTTTTAGGGTTTGTTTCTGTGGGGTTTTTTTTAGTGCTAGAAAGTTCCTGGAAAAAAAACAGTTTATTAATGACATTCATCTAAACTGATAAAGCACCTTTGGGGACAGTGGATGAATTTGTGCAGGTCACGAGACCAAAAAAAAACAGAAGAGGGCTTTCAGCTCAGATTGAGAAAGAAGGTGCAGATGAGACAGAAAGACAGCTATTCTTAAAAGGCACAAAATGCTCAAAGAAAATGCTATCAGAACACTGAGACGAAGCTACAAAGAGAGCACTAAGGAGTGAAATAGAATTTCAAGGCCAGGTTGGATGGGGCTTTGAGGCCCCTGGTGGGAGGTGTCCCTGCCCAGGGCACGGGGTGGCACGAGATGGAGCTTTAAGGTCCCTTCCCACCCCAACCAGTAGAGAAGAATTCAGTTCCTGATAGTGATTGCACTGAATTCCTTGTCAGAGCTTCTAGACACCAGGCTAAAAAAACCCAGCCATGGAAAAACTAAAAGAGTACCAATTAAGATCAAGTAAACAAAGTGATTAAACAAAATAAGTGTAAATTGTCACCTACACTAATGAAAGCTGAGGGAGATGCTGCTGAGCTGATTTATCTGCACTTTCCTCAAATATTTTGTATAACGTTTTGTCCAATCCACTGCCAAGGCCACAAGAGGACTTGCATGGCAGTGGGATGTAATCAAGAACTCCACCAACCTTGTAGCTTCTGGTTTTCCTTCTCCATTCTGAGGAGCAGTATCTGCTGGATAATGGCTTTCTTCCACAGCTCCCGAAGCTCCCGGGGCGTTCGCTTCCTTTCTTCCTTCACTGGCCCAAAGGGGCCATCTTCACACACCGGTTCCAACGGGGACCTCGGGGGAAGTTCTCCCAATTCGGAGTAATCTTTAAAAGAGAGAAGCTGTTGTGAACTACTTGGATTTCAGAAATAGGTGGCTGAAGGGACACATTCTAAAGACTTCATGAATATACATATATATCTACATATACACACATAAACATACCTATTTAGGAGATAGAAATACCAAGCAAGGTTTCCAAATGACAGTTTTAAGCAGATTTATAAGCTACTTCCAGATAAGAATCAAGCCTAGAACCCTTTTTTTTTTTCTATAAGCTGATAAAACATTCTACCATGACCACGGCTTGCTAATCACAGCTTTACAAGGAGAGAACTAGAAAGGAAAAGGCAAGTTTGGGAAACTGCAAAAAAATCCAACCTACAGCTGACACTCAGCAGGACTCAAAAAGCAGATCAAAGGCAAACAGAGCACCCACATAATTTGAAGAATAATCACTAAACTGTGTTTAAACAAAGAAAACACACACCCTTAGCTGCACAAACACACCACCACCTAAGGCCATACCACGGGAGGATTACCAGTTCCTTGAGCAAACACAGGGACAAAGGGAGAGGGGAATCTGAGACATGTTTGCTCTCACTTGGAATTTTTAACCATGTCATAACCTTCTGCACCTTTTCTTCCGGCTCCAGATGATCTACCACAAAATGTCATCTTTTGGTCAAGCACGCAAATAATTCTGAGTAACTCTAAGTAATTCTAAGAAGACTGAAAACACTACAAAAGAAAGTGAACATTAAATAAGTCTCAGGCAAATTGAAAAATCTTTTCTTTTTCGAGAAAAGAGAAACAACACTGGTTTAATCAAGTTCTCAACATCAGAGGTGTAAGTTCTTATACTTTGTTTTCTTAATGCCTGCTGCAGTGTCACTGAATTTTGTTTCATACAGCTTCTCTGAAGGCTCAACAGTCTTTGATATAACCCGTATCTAGAAGAAAAATGACTCAATTCACCACCTTTAAAATGAAGGGTCAAACCCACCCGTCTCTTCCTACCAAATTCCAAATGGAAAGCATTTGTGACAGCACTTCTTCAGCCACATGGAATGGCTGTGAAATACCTCCCTGAGGACAAGCTCATCAGTTACACCTGCAAGAAAATGCTTTAAAAAAAAACCTTACTGCAAGAGAAACCCTTCCCTGGCCTCTCCAGCCAAGGACAAGCACATCAGTCTATGCTATTTCAAACAACTCCTGGAGAAAGGACACTCACAGAATCACAGTCTGATATGGGGTTGGAAGGAACCTCTGGAGACCATCTCCTCCAACCCCCTGCCACAGCAGGGTCACCCACAGCAGGTCCCACAGGAACGTGTCCAGGAGGGTTTGGAATGTCTCCAGAGAAGGAGACTCCACCACCTCTCTGGGCAGCCTCTGCCAGGGCTCTGCCACCCTCACACCAAACAAGTTCCTCCTCATGTTCAGATGGAACTTCCCATGTTCCAGTTTGTGCCCGTTCCCTCTTGTCCTGTCCCTGGGCACCACTGAAAAAAGCCTGGCCCCATCCTCCTGACACCCACCCTTGAAGGATTTATAGGTGTTGATCAGATCCCCCCTCAGCCTTCTCTTCTCCAGACTCAAAAGACCCAAGTCCCTCAGCCTTTCCTCAGCAGAGAGATGCTCCAGGCCCCTCAGCATCTTTGTAGCCTCTGCTGTCCCCTCTCCAGCAGTTCCCTGTCCTTCTGGAACCAGAGAGTCCAGAAATGGAACAATTACCCAGCATGGTAGCTCAATGGTCCATTTCTCTAGCACAGCTATAAAGATTCTGAATTAAACACACACACAAATTATCTCATTTCTACAAACTACCAAAATAAGAAGGTTTTCACCCCTTCAGACTCTGCCCCCAAAGCCACCATATATTGACTCACATGGTTCATATGCTGCTATTCTCTTCTTGTTTGCTGCAAGGCACTGGCCCAGCTGAGCTCAGGTGACTAATTAAGAATGGAAATGCTCACAGCTGTTGGCTTTTTTTTTTGCTTCTCTGAGTTTTGCCACTGTCAACCTCTTCCTCTCGAAGAGTCAGAGACAAACAGGGTGGGTCCACACCCACCCCTTTCCTTATACAACATCTATTCGTTTGTTACCGCAGGTAAATACAAGGGCTAAACATTACATATAAAAATAAATGCTACATTTTCAGCCAGCAGCACAAATGAAACCTTTGGAAAGTTGCACTCTGGATAGGATTGTGGATGCCCACGCGTTGGGGACCTGCAGCATTTCAGAGAACAACAAAATTCCTGGGAATGTCAATGAGGCAAAGGATAAATAGTTGTCACTTTAATGGCAATCACCATTTGTTGCAAAAAGAAGTAGGAGAGAGTGACAGCAGCATTCCAAAACACAGCTGGTTCTGAAAAATATCAATACACTGGAAGAATCATAATTTTATATTTATCTTAAAGAAACTGGGAAACATTAATTTTATCTTTTTTTTTCTTTACAGGTAAATAGAAAGACTTTTGTGGGCTAAGATCTGCAATTATAGAAGAGGTTTAGGTAAATGTCACCAGGTAGAGAAGGAAAACACCCTTGATAATCCTCAACTTGTGGTGATGATTAAAGGAATGTTATTTTGATTTAATTGTTGGTTTTGATGCATGCCCTATACTGTCAACTATGTTGTGTGCATATAGTAGCTTTCATGCCAATCTTTCTCAGGACAATTCTGGTAGAACTGCCTTGATTTGCTTGAATAAAAATAATTACTTAAAAAAACCAAACAACATCTCGAAGGAAAGTTTTTCATTTTCTCTAAGGCTGCATTACACGCACTAACATTGCCATAAGAAAGTGGAATTAATGAAAATGGTCATCAAATTAATGCAAAAAGTAAAAGTGATCCAGACAGATACACCCTTACCCACCCTACACTATCTGTAGTTTATTCAATTCTTAAAGCATTCAATATGGAATGCATGTAAACAAATCTCTTCTCACCCTACACATCCTTTCAGTGGTTTATGGATCTCCTTTAGAGTCAGATACTGTGGTTTTATGCACGTGTAGATGCATTAGAAAATAGCAGAGGATCTACAGAGACAGTTTATGGTTACCCACCTGCAAATAAAACAGGCTGCCACAGCACATGGAAGGAAAAGGATTAAATACATTGCATTCCTAAAGCAAGAATGAACACATCCAAGACCTAAAAATCTTTCTGGTTTTAACACGCACATTCTGTTCTCTCAGTACAAATTTTGTGGCTTGGTCTTCAAGTAAAATATCACTTTCTAATTTATTGTGGGTGTTACTTCTTGTCCTCCAGTGGTCAAACTTACTGTGGCAACACCTGGAGCACTCCGAAGCATTAATTACTCAATCCATGATCCTGCTCCCGTTTAGGCTGCAAATTTCTTGTCTCTTGCTGACTAACCTGATAAGATCAGTATTTGCTAAAAGAAATTTCACTCACAATGCTTAAGGCTATAAAAGAAAACAGAAAGGTTACAGAATTCTGAAGAGTTATGATTATCAACCCTACCTCTAATGCTCTGTGGGACACTCCTAGGCTTGATTTTGCCTCCCAAATGGCAGCTCTTTTTCTATCTTTTCTTTCCTCTTACTGTTTGTGGACATCTAACAGAAAGTCTAAAGTCTACTCTGATAACCACATCCCCAACCCGCCTTCCTTCCCATCTCCACGCTGGCGTGTAGCAGGATGTAGAGAAACCCAAACCAACCCGTTTAACTGCTCATGTGGCTCATCTAAAGTTTACCAAGTTGCATCAGCTGTTTGGCTGGTGAAGGAGGTGGAATGTGCATGGAATCCTTCAAAACAAAGTGAAAAAAACCCAGGTATTTTGGTAAGTCAGCACAAACCCACGTCCATGAACATACAACGAGGTGATGGACAGACATGCCACCCAAGATCCACAACAGACAAGAGTAGAAATGCTGGAACAAGAAATTGTGTTTCATTATTCTGCACAAACCATCTGGAGAAGAACGGAGAAAGCAAAGATACACAACAGAGCAATTCAACCGAACGCAACCGGGAGCTCACGTTCCACTGAATCAAACTGCCACGTGTTAAAAACCAAACAATTCACAGCCTTCAAACCTTTCTGAGATTAGTAAGTGCACTCGAACAGGATCTGGAGACTTCAGCACACACAGAAAGACTGTTTCCCCGTTCATCTGCCAACGGCGACACCTTTTGTCAACTCATATTCCACATTTGACCCATACTCCTCTCAAATACCTTCCTCCATAGAAAATTTCACTTCCATAATGTTGTAGTTCTACCAGCCCACCACACTTCTACTCCTTACGGTTCAGGATTGTGCAGGTTGACTCAATTTTATTCTATTATATCACCACATGGGTGATTTTCCATTTGAAGTTCATGCTTGGACCACCCTGCAGAATCACTCCTCTGCACGTTGCACTTCTACAAGCCCGTGGGTCCAAACTAAGAATTCCTTGAGGAACATCACTGGGAAAGCCACCAGCTTCCCTGTACTTGTGAGGACTTGTGAAAAGATGGCTAAAAACTACAGTTGTGACTAAATCAGACGGTATTTGCCTGGTAGTGACATAAACAGGAAATGTTATTCCCTCCAGAAGAAGCTACAATAAACATAGAGCATTTACTGGGACCTGTGGAGGACGTTGAGGCATTCTAATAGTGAGTTATTAAAATGTTGCCTTAAACCTTATTTTTTTAGGAAATTTCATTTGTAATTGACTAGGAAATAAATTAATTGATCAATAGTTTCTTTTTCAATCTCAGTGTTAAAGACTTCACAAAAACAACAACAAAAAAAGGAAACCCACTAAGAGACACCACACACACAAAGTAAAAAACATTACAAGTGACAAACCCACCTAAAAGCCTACATTTTAAAAACACTCTTTCAGAGGCACTTAGTCTAACCAACCTCAAACACCAAAAACAAGAAGACAAGATTCATCTTTGACTAGAAACTGCAACGCTTCACTTTTTATAGGAAGCTAAAAGGGAGGAGGCTCAAATATAATACGGCACCGCCATCCTCGCTACGGAGTTGTTCACACAGGGCTCTCTAAATGCAAATTTATTGCTCACATCTGCTCCCCAGGGGCAAGAAGTCAAGCAACATATCCCTATTTTATATATATATATATGTATATATATATATATTTATAAATACAGTGAGAACGCATATGGAAGAATTCCATTAAACATTTTATATTCTGCATTATGCTGTTTTTCTTTGTTGCATTTCACAGAACCACAGAATGATGTGGGGTTGGAAGGGACCTCTGGAGATCATCTCCTCCAACCCCCTGCCACAGCAGGGTCACCCAGAGCAGGTTGAACCAGGGGAGGTTCAGACTGGATATTAGGGAAAATTTTTACACGGAAAGGGTTATGAAGCCTTGGAATGGGCTGCCCAGGGAAGGGGTTGAGGCACCATCCCTGGAGGGATTTAAAAGCCAGTTTGACATTGTGCTGAGGGACATGGGTTAGTGATGGTTTTTATCAGAGTTGGGTTGATGGTTGGACTTGATGATCTTAAAGGTCCCTTCCAACCTGGACAATTTTGATTCTATGATTCTAAATAGTCTGGTACGAAGCACACGCTACAGAACTCAGCTGAGATAATAAAAGAAATTTAATTCCTTCTGCAGACCTGGATTATTCTAGTCCATAGTTCTACATTCCAGCATGGAAAGATAAAATAAAAGTATCACCTTTTCTTCAGAAAATACTCGGTGATACGTTTTTTCCCCCAGAACTCATTAGAATAATACATATAAAAATATCTTTTTCCCTGGTTCAGTTGATACAAATGGAACTACATTACATACAAAGCTGAAAAATAAAAACTCAAGAGCTGATGAACTTGGCACGACCAAAATGTAGGTAGAAAACTGCAAAGAGAGTACAGATAGAGCACCGGGCAAATACGTCCACTCGGTAGACAAAAATAGTTTACGTTTTGCAGGCTACATTCACTGACAACCTTCAAATCAAGCAAATAACCACAGGCTTTACCATCGTATCGGCCGGGAGAATCACATGCTTTCTGAGGGGTTGCCACTCTCAGGAATATCTGTTGCCTCCAGGAATGCCGCCGTGTCCTGACGGGGCTGTCCGTGCCGCCGGCGTGCTGGCCGTGCCTGGACTCATAGTCACTGAAACCATGGAAGACAGAAGGGTTTGTGAGTAGTGACACCATCTTCAGGGAAATACACCACCACCAACCATCAACTACTGCTCTGCACATGCTGGGTCAAGCTCTTAGTGAGAGGCAGGTGCAGCTTTGGGGCAGCAGGTTTATACAAGGCCGCAAACATCACTTAGATTCACCAAAACAAGGTCCCTGGCAGCTCCGTGCAATCTGCTTTCTCTAGTTTTAATTGATTTTCAGCTTGCTTTGCAGCAGTGTATTAAACACAGGCATGAAAAACGCACACGCTGTCACGTGTCTTCATCACTCTGCTATTTAAATGCCATCCACAAAGTCTAGCAATGGTTCACAGGAGACACAAAGAGCTGTTGGTGCCTTTTGTAAGTACAAATCAAGAAGCTTTATAAACACCGACCAAATTTCCAACCTTCTGAGAACTGGGCAGATAACATACTCCTGGCCAGCACAGCCTTGGAGCAAAATTTTTAACCTTTGTGTTGACAGGTCACCCTCTGAAATAAGCAACAAACTTGGGAACAGTGGCCAGAAACCTTGGGTGTTACCCCCCAACTACATAAAGAGGTTTTAATTCAGAATATTAAATGCAATAGTGAACAGCAAGGCTGTTTTCCTATTAGAAATCCCACTAATAAATTTACCTGTTACATTTTTAAACTATTGATTGCTTTACTCCAACCACAGGCTAAATGGTAATTACGACATCAAAATGTCTAAATTGTGCAATCTTTAAGTGAGTCTGGGGCAGCTCCATCCTTTTGAGAGCAATCACATGCAGAAAACATGCAAGTGAACTCTTGCACAAATCAGGGTTTGCAAGTGAGAGAAGCATTTGAAAATATTTCAGGCAAAGAAACTTTAGAAAAAATACAGTTTTACCTCCAGGGTTTAAGAGAGAACCCTACCTTGTCGCGCTCCTAAAGTCAGAGGTGTTATTTTCATCTACAGGAGCCAGAAATTTTAAGAAATTTGGCACAGAAGAGGAAGAATGAAGCTTTTTCCTTAAGGCAGTACGGTAGGAGATGCTGAGAGTGCAGTTGGGAAAAGCAGAGTTTAGAACAAAGAAGTATAAATCCACAGAATAAAAATAATACACACAGCTAAGTTTCAAGCTAAAAGCGGCTAAATCCTGAAGGTCCCAATATCAAGGAAACTAAAGTCAAAACTGCTAACAAAGTGCTACTCTGAAATACACATTTCTTTGGGCAAACTAAAATGTTCCAATATAAATAAACGTACTTCCAGTAAAGTTATTATTTTTTGCTATATCCCCAGATTTTTTAGTGCATGTTCCAAGTAAATCCAAGTAATTCCTTTAATCCAATAAGAACTGACGCCAACTTTATCATTGCACGTTTACTTAAATATCAGTTTCAACAATTGACTAAGCTTGGGGGGAAAAGGTTAGAAAAAGCCAACACTGACAATCATTGTGCTGGTAAATATGAACTGGGGAAGGGGGGGGGGGGGATACTCAGTGAAAATCACAACTATGAGTTTAATCTTCTGGATTCAAATGAGTCTAATTAAAATGAAGAGTAAAGATGACGTTGTAGACTCATATTTCCTCCCCTGAGCTATTCTGCACTTCTGAGGTGAGGCGAAATGAAGAGAGATGCTGGCTACTACTCAGCAAATACAACTGGAGGAGCCGGTGAATTGCGGTTCTCAGTTGGGTATTTCCTCAGGATAAGAAGAATCAGCACTTCGGGGAAATGGGAACTCTTCACCAAAGAGAATAAAACCAGGAAACCTTCACCAATGAGAATAAAACCAAACAATAAACAGCAACAGCAAGAAAACCTGCTTGTCAATGCCAACTCGTTGGCAGCGCTTCCAAGGACGTTTGGTATTGTTAGCCTTTTGAGCTAAAACAAGCGGTTTTATCTCCAGGGGTTCAGAAGGGGTTTCACAGCTCAGATTTCTAGGGAGCAACTTGTTTCAGGTTCTCAGGGAAATGATGGGTGAATGGTGTCTATATGGAATTTCGTTCTGTGAAGGGAGGCGCAGAAAAGCATCATTTGATACTACAGAATCACAGAATGATGCAGAGTTGGAAGGGACCTCTGGAGATCATCTCCTCCGACCCCCTGCCACAGCAGGGTCACCCACAGCAGGTCCCACAGGAACGTGTCCAGGCAGGTTTGGAATGTCTCCAGAGAAAGAGACTCCACCACCTCCACCGCCTGCACTGGAAGGGCAGCCTCTGCCAGGGCTCTGCCACCCTCACACCAAACAAGTTCCTCCTCACGTTGAGGTGGAACTTCCCATGTTCCAGTTTGTGCCCGTTCCCTCTTGTCCTGTCCCTGGGCACCACTGAGAAAAGCCTGGCCCCATCCTCCTGACACCCACCCTTGAAGGATTTAGAGGTGTTGATCAGATCCCCCCTCAGTCTTCTCTTCTCCAGACTCAAAAGACCCAAGTCCCTCAGCCTTTCCTCAGCAGAGAGATGCTCCAGGCCCCTCATCATCTTTGTAGCCTCTGCTGTCCCCTCTCCAGCAGTTCCCTGTCCTTCTGGGACTGGGGAGCCCAGAACTGGTCCCAGTGCTCCAGATGGGGCCTCCCCAGGGCAGAGCAGAGGGGCAGGATGACCTCCCTCCACCTGCTGGTCATGCTCTTCCTGATGCCCCCCAGGATGCCCTTGGCCTTCTGGGCCACAAGGGCCCATTGCTGGCTCATGGCCATCCTGTTGTCCACCAGGGGCTCCAAGGTCTTTTTCTCAGAGCCGCTCTCCAGCAGGTCAGCCCCCGACAATACTGCTCAGAGTAACCAAGACAAATACATGAACTGGTGGGTTGGGGTTTTTTTATTTGCTAGTTCTGGTTTTGGGGGGAGTGAAGGAGTGTGGGTTTCTTTTTTAATTTGTGGGTTTTGGTTGCTTGTGGGTGTTTTTTTTTGTATCAGCTCTCCACAGTCCTGCTCTTTCTCGCCTCATTTAGTGAACTTAGTCAATTTGCCTTTAATGTCAGGCAACAAGAGCCTCCGGGTGTGTTTCTGTGTCCCCGTGATCAAAGCAAAGCAGAAGGGAATGATTCAGGAGGGACAGGGGGAGCTGGATCCCAGGTTGTTGGCAATCCCTCCCTGCCAGGATGGAAGCAGTGCTGCTGTCTGCTGCATAACAACAAGTCGCTTCCCAGCAACTGGCTCTAAAGAATGTCCCACCTGTCTGGAAGAATCTTATTTATTAAACTCCCCAAATTACATCAGTGGCATCTCTATATTCAGTAGCGGAGCAGTAAAAGGGTTCCCTCTGCTAAAAAATCTATCACCTTCGGTCTATATTAAATTATTTTAATTATTTACACTACGCAGCTTCATATTTATGACACGGTAAAGCAAGGCCTACTCCGAACTAGGTACAGGAGCTAGCTCACCTCTTTTGTGCAAAATGCCCGCTTTGTTCTCCACTGGAATTATGCCTTAGGTATTTAAAGAAGTTGGGCGAAGAGGCCGAGGGGTTAAGACGAGTTAGAGTAGGAGAAGGCGCGAGATGACCAGGAGAACTTTTGAGATTCGCCGCCAGACGCGTTCAAACCGTGCAGTGGGATTTTCCAACCAGAGCGATGGAGTTGAGGTAGCCCAAAGAACACCACACAGTAAGACAGGAAAGGAGAAAGAGGGGGGAATAAAAAAAAAAAAGTGAAATCCCTTCTCTAAGCTTCGAAAGGGACCTGGCATATAGAAATGAGCCATTTCCTATGTTTTTCAGGCAGTAAGAGGCTGAAGATTTTAACTCAATCAGCCAAGTCCCAAATAAACACTTTCAGGCTTTAGCAAGACATTTTAGCATTTATGACTAAATTTAATCTCCACAAAACCTGTCACTGACACACTCCTTTCTTCTCCCTCCACTTGGTTTCTGCGTTGAAGTCAGGCGTATGATCAATGGAAGTGAAATGCTACATGAAGAACTGAATTTATTCACACTTTAGAAACAATTTCTGAATTGAGGTAAGCTGTTCAAAAACACTCATGAAACATACAAGTCTATGATTCCAGTGATTTTTGAGAACTTTACTTCTCTTATAGAATCATAGAATGGTTTGGGTGGACCTTAAAGCCCACCCAGTGCCACCCCCTGCCCTGGTCAGGGACACCTCCCACCACACCAGGTTGCTCCAAGCCCCCTCCAACCTGCCCTTGAACCCCTCCAGGGATGGGGCAGCCACAGCTTCTCTGGCCAACCTGGGCCAGGCTCTCACCACCCTCACAATAAATAATTTCTTTCTAGTATCTAATCTAAATCTTCTTCTAAGTTTTTCAACTCCCCCCGGTTCTGTACATTTGCTATGAAAGGGGACCAACAGTGATTTATTTGGGGTTTGAATTAGCGAGGGCACACTCAGGTCTCACTAAAAACCACATGATCAAACCCAAATAGAAACAACTAAGGAAATGAAAAATACTTTTAATTTCTAGCTGCATTCCTATAGTGAGATAAGAACCAGTTGAACAAGCAGCTACAAGAATCAGGGCAACTCTCATGATGGGAACAGCCCAGCAACACAAGTCCTAAACTGCACTACAAAAACATACTAGCATTTTAGAATTTAAAAGGTTCAAATAAGGGACAAAAAGGCAACACAGGTTATGTTTCCTTTCAAACACTGTAATTTCTCTTTTTTTTTTTTTTCCACTGTCATCACCCATTTCAGGCATGTTTGTTTACTGCCCTGCCTCCTGCAGGGAAAAATGAGCTGGAACACATACCCATTTCCTACTGTTTAATTGTGTAAATGAGCAGTTTTGGCAGCAAAACAGGAGCCCATGGTCAGAAATGTTTCCATAGTAATTGGGAAAAGCCAGATAGAAGGAGGGAAGAAAACTGCCATGAGGTTAAGAGGAGACTTTAGAGACGTAGAGGCAGGCTTTGGAAGGAGGAGAGCTTGGAGAATATTAGCGTAAAGGCAAGCAATGGCTTGTTTTTGCAAGGAAAATCTACACTGAAAAGCTCAACAGGAGCCTCACCTCTACCAACAATTAGGCCAATTATGTCAGTTTTGTGCATTACTTTAAAGCCAGACATGAATTCAACAACTAGTAAGGTTTTCAGCATCACAAATGCTACTGGATTTCTCCTCTATAAATACACAACGAGAAGTAGCATTTTATACTGCTCGCAGATTAAAACAACAAAGATTGCAAAATATAACTGAATGGAGACTAGAAGTGTTTTTAAACAGAATACCTGCAAACCTCCACAGAGCAAAGCACTGCTGTGACACATTTCTTATCCATTAAGAGGACATACTGGGTACACAATTATCATCCCCAAATATGCCTTCAGAAAGGAAATCATAGCCTGCTTGTAGTAAGTCTTACTTTCTGATGTGAGGAGTCTCTGTGCTCACTGAGTGATACCTCATGAGTTTCCTCTGGGGAAGAGAGGGCGACGTTTCGACGGGCACCAGAGACTCCTGGCTTTCTGTTGGCAAATGGCTCAGGGTGTTTGCTCGCCTCCGGAAGCTTTGCTGAGGTAAGGGAACAGATTGCTCCACAGGAGAATCATCTGCTTCGCTGGAGAGGTCACCTGCTGATCCACTGCTCCCAACGGCGTTCTCTGTAGGAAGGCTGTCCTTCTCCTTTTCACATGGTGGTGGTTCCTAGCAGTGTGAAAAACTAAGGTTTAAAATCAATCTTTAAGGTGAGGTCCCGTGTCATTACTCACACCCCATTGAGACCTGCTTCAAAATTGCACATTTTTATCATAGAATCATAGAATGGTTTGGGTTGGAAGGGACCTTAAAGATCATGCAGTTCCAACCCCCCTGCCCTGGGCAGGGACACCTCCCACCACACCAGGTTGCTCCAAGCCCCCTCCAACCTGCCCTTGAACCCCTCCAGGGATGGGGCAGCCACAGCTTCTCTGGCCAACCTGGGCCAGGCTCTCACCACCCTCACACCAAACAAGTTCTTCCCCACATCTCAGCTCCATCTCCCCTCTTGCAGGGTCAAACCCTTCCCCCTCCTCCTAGGGCTCCCCTCCCTCATCCAGAGTCCCTCCCCATCTCTCCTGGAGCCCCTTGAGGGACTGGAAGGGGCTCCAAGGTCTCCTCGGAGCCTTCTCTTCTCCAGGCTGAACCCCCCAACTCTCTCAGCCTGTCCTCCCAGCAGAGGGGCTCCAGCCCTCCCAGCACCTCCATGGTCTCTTCTGGCCCCCCTCCAACAGGTCCATGTCCTTCCTGTGCTGAGGACTCCAGAGCTGGACACAGTGCTCCAGGTGGGATCTCATGAGAGCAGACTGGAGGGGTAGAATCACCTCCCTGGACCTGCTGGCCACACTGCTGGGGATGCAGCCCAGGATGGGGTTGGCTTTCTGTGCTACCAGCACACAGAGCTCGTATATATCACGATAGCTCACAGGAAGAATCATCTTTGACGTTTTATGTCTTCATCATGAATCATTTAGGTCAAAAATCACAGCCTCCATTTTAAAGAGAAAAAGTAATTTTGAGAGTAATTGCGTTTCAGGGTACATTGAGTACCACTCAGGAGAAAAGGGGTCAGACTGGGACAGACAGGTCAGGTTTGGGTAAGAGCAACAGTGATGAAAAGGTTGACATTTCAGAGTATTGTACGTTTAGCACCACATCTAACAAGATCACACCCCTCTTGTCTATCTGAATTTCTCCCCAGGCTTAACCTACTTTCCTCGTGCTGCTGAAGGTACCAGACGTGGTGCTGTCCGAGTCCCCAGCACCAGAATTGTCCAGGGGCCCTCTGGCTTTACTGCCCTGGGAAGAAAAAAGCACATTTTAAAGGATCCTGGGGAATTAAGGGATTCTGCTGGGCAATGGTGTGACTTCCATGATATGTACATAATCACATATTGCACACATGTACTATAACTTCTATACAGTATACATCTATACTTCTATAAATATATATATATATACTATGCTTCTAAAGTACCTCCTGTATTCCAAACAGGAGATTTTCACACTAGGTACTTCTTACCAAAGTACAAGAAACAAAGGAGGAGTCTATTACAAAGGATTTAAAACCATATTAATTTAACACACAGCAAAACGTAATTCCTGGTATTGTCATCTCCATGCCTACAAATCAGAAAGCATAAATATTTTTGTATAATTTATTCAAAAATGTTTTTGTATAATTCCTTTGACTGATGTTTTTGTGTAACGAAGAGAAATACCAAGAAACCTACTGATGGAGTCTCATGTGCTAACACAACTATGGTACCTGTATCTTCCTAACTTAAAATAGTGCCATTTTTTTAATATTCTGAACTTAAGGCTTATGTTGCCTTCAAACTGCTATTCCAGGGAAAATAGAAAATGTTATCAGTAGTGACTGTTCTCACCTTGAAGCTCAGACAAAATGTTTCACCTCAGATCTGATCAAAAATCAAGATTTTCCATCAAAGTAGGCGTGACAGTGAAAATACAACCAATATAGAGCTGTGCTTACGGGAACCCAGCTTACGCTGGTCAGCACAAACTGCCAAATAGTAGAACAGTGATTTATAGTAATTATTTTTTGTCACTACAAGTCTCAAGTCTACGAGCCAATCAACTGGACTAGATCCTGCTTCAATTTAGCTGTTTGTTGATGAGAAATGAGAACAGGCAATTTTTGTTCCTTAATATCTGTTGTTTGGCATTCTGTCACAACTCTCTTCTCTCTGAAAAAAGGGAGGTGGTCTGATTTTTTAAATCCTTTGTCAAGCAGAAGTCTTTCCAAGTTCCCTATTATTTTCCTCAGACTTTTTCCACGTGATGCGAAACAAAGAATATTTGAATGAGAAGACACTCTGCAGGTTTAAGTGGTGCTTAAACTTGATATCTGATTTGTTTTACTATCAGCAGATATTTTCAGTCATCTGTTTATTATAAACATTTTTATCTCTCTTCTTGGGGATCACTCTTACAAAGGAGCCTGAGTTTTTCCCACTAACAGGAATTGCCTGACACTGTTCACAAAGAATTTTACCCGATGTGATATTGTATAAATGCCTTCACATTCTTAGTGTCTTCTGATGTTCTTTACACTCCTTGCCTTTAAATAACGCCGAGCATTTACAAGTTCAGATACCCCATTACTCATCACTAGTAAATAATACCTCATTAGAAACACGTAGTCATTTCCCTAATAATTTCCTTCTCCATAAAGACAAGTGAACAATCGTAAGTACTTTTCCAATTTTCTAAATCAGAGAAATAAAACAGTGGTTGTTTTTCATAAGTTCTCAACTTCATATGAATTTTTTGAAACACCTATATATGCTATTTTTTTTCTAGTTATTAGTTCACTTCTTCTAGGATTCTCTGTACCAAAGCCCTGCTTTGTTTTGTCTCCTTTTAACATATACACTCAAATATTTTTGTCACCATGCCTTTAATAACTACGTGGCTACAACCTGGTAGGATAAGAAATACGACTTTTCTATCACTTGAAGAAATAAAACAATGAAATTCCGTTCCGGGGCAATAAACGTGAAGATACTTACCCGTGATAAAATACTTTCAAATGATTCTGTCAGAGATCTTTTTGCTTTGTTCTTTAACATATCTAATCTGAACCTCGGGGCGCTGCTGGGCACCTCGTTGGCCGCGTTCTCAGCAGGGGGTTGGGAAGGCTGTAAATGTCCAAAAACAAAAATGTGAAAGACAGCAGGGAGCAGAATCCCAGGGAACAGCCAGCACAAAGACCTCTGTAACCGAAGTCAAACCTTTCTCCCTGGTTTTTCCTGCCTTGTTCTCTACTGATACTAAAGTTTAACAAACTGTCCTGACACAAGAGCAGGAAATCTCTGGAAGGAAACGCGCTGAGCGTAACAGCAAGCTTCAGAAGAATTGCCATTTTGATAGGGATTTGTGTGTGTGTCAACAATTTAATGCCAAAATTCTAAATGTTTCAGTGTAACAGATGAGCAATTTCTCATGGATTTATTTTTCTGCAGCCAAGAAAATAATCAAAATTGATGACGCTCGTAATTAACAAGAACTCTCAAGTGTCTCCATTATATTAAAATGGGGCTTTCCAAGGGCCAGGAAGATGTAGAACAATCTAATTCTTCTACGTATTTCACCCGATGAAACACTTCCACCTTAAAGCTAAATGTCTATTGAGAGTTTTGCTTCTTAAATAAATATTTCAGTCTGTATTCAGAGGAGGGTAGCGAATCCAAAAATGATACTACAATGTAAATAATTGCCATCCAAACCTAACACCTGCAGGAGAAAGCAGAGCAGTTTTCAGTGTTATTTTTTGGGGGGGGGCGGTTCATCTTTAGGGTGCCAGGCACCTCCCTACCCAACCCTAATTTCAGAGAGCTGAATGCTTCATCTATGGGCAGCTGAAGAGCTCATCATCACCATCACCAAATAGTCTAGATATAATTTTAAAGCACCTTATTTCCAGTAAGAAGACCAAGTAACAGGCTTCTGTGTTTTCTTTTTCCCTTCACTCACCTCACCCTCAAAGGGCAAACCAGACGCTGCCTGCTATTATGTTCTTATGAAAAGGCATTTATTTTGAAGGTTGTTTTTGTTAAGTAAGATCCATGTACTAGTATCACATTTAATTTTTTTCCTCCCCCGATTTAAATATTTAAAGAAAACCCCCAAAAAGGTTACGAAAAACAGAAAAGGGAATACCTATGCAGAAAAGAAGGGAACATGGATGGGGATGTCATGGGTTAATGATTGCTGAGACAAATAGCACTGCCAGAGTACACGTTCAAAGGTATCTGCTATTACACAGCTCTGGAGATAAATTAGCATATTTACTCTGATAAGACAAATGATGGACTGAGGGCAAGTCAGCCCTGCTCTTAGAGCACTGCCATCTTTGCAAGTGTCAGATTAACTCATTTTGGTGGCAGGAACTGAGCAAACAGACCTTAGGAATTTCCAAATCACACCGAAGATGTATTAAGATATTATCTTGCTTCTTATAATCCCTATTTCCAACAACTATTTGATAATCAGCTGGCATTAGCTCAAATAAAAATATTTCAGGTATGATGATAGAGGACCCCAGGCAATGTTTCCTTCCTGTCCTGCCATAACTACAATACTTTATTCTTAAAAACATATTTCTGGTGAGATGCCCAAGACAAGAAATCAGAGAAGGAAATAGGCCAAGTTTTCTTCCTGCTTTCTCAGGGAGGTCAATAATTAGCCAGGAAACCATGAAAGGAGAAGAGATTTGGACCTGCTTTGGCAGGGGGGTTGGACTAGATGATCTCCAGAGATGCCTTCCAACCCCATAGCATTCTGTGATTAACAAAGTGAACAAACAGTAAATGAAGACTTCCTGCTACTTCCCTAATTTCTACAGGGGTCTAATTACTCTCCATATTTGATAGTTTAGATCACAGATGGCCAAAAGTAGTCAGCACAATGGAATTACCAGCCAGCAGTGGTGGGACAGCCAAGATTTTTAAAAGGGTCAAATAATTAGAGCTGAAAGTTTCCAGAGAGTGGGAAAAATTTAAATACAGACCTCCAAGGTGTCTCCAGTTAGTCAAATCACAAACCAAGCCATCCCAAATCACTAATCCCCTTTGAACAATCTTAACTGTGGTGTATAAAGAGCCAGTTAAACAGCACCCATGTGACAGAAGGGAGCTCAGCTCTTTGGAAAGGGATGAGAGTCTCTGCTACTCCTCCTTGAGGCCACTACAAATGGTGCTTTGCACACCAGAAAGAACTTCCAGCTACCAATGTTTGTGAAGGATGAAATCCAATGTGTTGTCAGACAGTGACTCACACAGGCAATGGGATGGCCAATGCCACAGATCGACTGAGAGCAACTACAAATTCATGATCTATTCTCTCATATATATTGAATTTTTGGTGTAGTGAGAAGAAAGAAACGACCAAAATAGTGTCTACCTTGTTTGTGTCTCTGTCTGCTGAAATCAGCCTGTGCTGGGCACCTCAGCATCTGAAATCAGCCTGTTTTGGTGCACAACAATATGAATCACAAGCAAAACCCGTGTTCACCACTGCCTACAGCTTGAACTTCCAAAACACCAGTGCTGGAAACTGGACTTCGGAAAGATATCAAAATGGAATGGAAGATTTTTTTCCTGGATCCTCCTTCCATGAACTAAACTGGAATAATTACTGACCTGTTTCGCTTCTCCAATGTGAACGTGGTCCTTCTGTTTTTCTTCATACATGTTTCTCAGAACAGAGATGACCAACTCGTTCTCTTTTTGATCATTTCTCGGTCTTAATTTCTTTAATTGAAAAGACCACAAGGCACAGTAATTATACATTTGTATAAGAGTTAACACCCTTAACGTATTTAACTCGGCTAATGGTACCACTCCAGTCCACCAGAGGCCACCAGTGTCCCAGGGAAAGCAGCAACACTCCTCCTAACTTCATACATCTCAGAATTTACACCAAAGTTAAAGGACAACCTGTTAAAGGACAATAAAGACTTTAAAAAGTCTCTTTGCCAATTTCCTTTGGACGTAAAGAGAACAACAACACTGTAGTCCTGAGTCTGTAACACCAAGGAAGCACCTTCTCGCAGGGACAATGTACAACCCTTCTCCTAGAAATCCTTCTTGTTGGACATTCCATTTTGGGGAAAAAAGCATGGGGATTTTAAAAATCAGTGCAGAAGGTGAACAGATTTGTCTCTGCTGCATTCTACTTAGATCTGAATAAGATCTAAATACATCTCTAGGAGAAACAATTTTTTTAAAGCAACTTATTATAGCACTTAATCCCAGAAACCAAACTTGTGAAAAGCATATGATTCTTTCAGCCTATTGATGTAATGCAGAAGATACAGTATGAATTAGCTAATGCCAGGGTAGTGCATATTAATAAAAATATCTTTAGACAGACTAAAATCTAAAAATGCAAATCATGGTTACAACATCTGCAGCTGTAAGAATGCAACAATGAAAATTTCAGGCAGTCCAACTCAAAAAAACAGCTGAAAAAGGCAGGAGAGATGTACCCTTGGTTTTCCCAAATTAATAGTTTACTCTCACCAGACTCTCACCAGAAGCAATTAAGAGTTTCCCGTTATTACTAGAAGTTTTAGACTGTCAAAATGGGTGCAGAACACTAAAATCCAACAGTGCCAGCCAGCTGTTCTATACTGAGAAATTACTTAGCTCACGGAACCGCTCCCACAGAATAACTTCCAAATTTGGATGATAAAGGGCCACATGGAAACACACAAAGAGACCGAAATGACTCAATAGAGGAAGGAAACAGTATTTTTAACAAAGTCTGAAATTTCCTAATCTTCAATAGGGCGCCAGGCCCAATGACATTTCCTGCAATATTCAGTCTTAAACTGAGCTGTGCTTTCCTCTCTGCTAAGAGGGATTTCAGACAGAAGAAAGAAAGTTAAACATTTTTTTAGTTAAGTTTGACAAGTATTAAGATCTAGGATAAGTTTTAGGCAGGAAATTTTCTGATCTGGGAACGGTAAAGTAATTTGTTTTGGTCAAAATAACAGTTGAATGTTCTCACAGTACAAGTTCCTGCCTTCACCCACAAAACAAGTGTGCAGTTTTACACAATGAGAAGTCAATATTTTCATGAAAAACAAGTTGTATTAAGGGAAGAAAAATGAGTAAAATAAACCCTTTTCACCAAAATACAAGTTTTTAACAGCTCCGGAAAAATAATAATAATATTGAAATTAAAGCACAAGGTGATTAACAGTCTCTTAAATCAAGGAAATGAATAATTCACCAAAAAAAAAGGAAAGAACTTTGGTGCTTCACACAGATGTGAGCAAAACCCATCATTTGCTTTAACATCTTGCAGGAAACAAAGAGCTTACCTTAACCTCTTCAAAAACAGAGGCCTGCTCCTGGTTATTTAGTGTCGTCAGATGCTTTTGTAGCTCTATTTTAGTCTTAGAAGGGTGTAACCCTACCAAGAGGAACAAAAAAAGAACAAACCACAGGATCAGATTTGTCAGAATTCATCAGTCACATAAATATGCACATAATTTAAGGCAAAGCTCGTCGGTTATTTGAGCTGACCCCTTGGCACTGATTTCATAACAGGGCATTAGAAGGAACTTCTAGGGTAATTTAAAGCTACTGCTGAACTCAATGTCTTTAAAACAAGGGGCACGAACTCTGCAAGAAGGAGATTTACTGGGCACAGCCCAGGATTATACTCTCAGCTGAAGAATCCATTATCACACAAGATAAAATAAACCCCGATTTGGGGGTTATTTGCAGTTATTTGGGGTTAAATGCAGTATTTCTTGTGGCATAAACATCATTTCCATTGCTTTTCTCCAACGTTTATGCCTTGGCCTCTTCTGAAAAAAGAGTATATTTATCACATGTCACTGAAGTTCTTGCTTTGCCCGTTGCTGAAAACATTTACGGACAATCTAAAGCACACAACCCTCTCATTCAGATTATTTTTTTCTGCCCTCATCCTGGATTAAACTCCTTTCTGTGGAAAAAACAGCAAACCATCAACAGCAGTTTGTACAACAGTTTCAACTGTTAGAGCAGTTTCTGACTGTGGCATTCTCCCTCAGAAGCAGATGCTACGATTAACCAGATGGCACAATTAAAGGCATTAAGAATCATTTGCCTTGAAGAAATTTCTCAAAAATCACAGTTAGCTGAAGCGCAAAACAGAGTGAAAAGTAGTTTTGGAAGTTCTCCAGTTTCATCAAATTAATACTAGACAGGTTTTAGTGCAGTGAGCTATGGCCACGTGACCTGACAAGCAGCTGCTGCCCTTTATTCACCCCAGACTTTGCTTAAATGAACAAAACCTAACTATGAAATTTGCTGAAATGCAATAAAAGGTGTTTTTTTTCCATCTGAAACTTGTTTTCTGGGCAAGAACTACAATTTTAACTGCTGCATTTTCATGAAGGAGCATGGATTGACACCACAAACGTGCATATTCAATCTCACTGTTGGGTTCATGCTTACTGGTGGTATCACGCTGGTACTTCAGGATTCAGTAGGAGAGCAGGTCACAGCTATCACAGCATAGGTTCTCGAGAAGTTGCTTATCTAATGTCCTCTGCATTTATAGGGCCAACAGAGCCAAGCTAGTGGCAATGCAGTGGTATTTAGAGCCTTAATTAGTTTTCAAAACTAGTAATTTTTCACTCTCATCAAGCTAGTGGCAATGCAGTGGTATTTAGAGTCTTAATTAGTTTTCAAAACTAATAATTTTTCATTCTCATTGGAGGGGGCTTGGAGCAACCTGGGCTGGTGGGAGGTGTCCCTGCCCAGCACGGGGTTGGAACTCAATGATCTTTAAGGTCCCTTCCAACCCAAACCATTCAATGATTCTACAATTCTGTAACTTTACATTTCAGTCCCCTAAAGAAAAAGACAGGGTTTCAACCCTCCATACCGAGTCCCAAGCTCTTTTTAAGTATTCCATTCCCTTAGAGCTTCACATGTAAATAAAACTGTTAGAAAAACTATTCAAGCAGGAAGTCCTTAAGTATTCCATTCCCTTAGAGCTTCACATATAAATAAAATTGTTAGAAAAACTATTCAAGCAGAAGTCTTTTAAAGCTCACCTTCTATCTTTTCACAGAGTTTATGCAAGCTTTGCATAGGACACCCTTCACAGAGCTGGGGCTGGGCCTTGGAAGTTTGTTGCACAGCGGCTACGGTGAAGGCCTGTTTCAACGTCATCATGATTTCATCCACCTGCAAAGAATAGAGGGCAGAAGAACAAATGTCACTCCTCCACTGAATTTCTGTTTTCCTTAATGGACATGCAACAGGCTTTTAGAATGATCTGGCCATTTGTCTGGGAATGCAGTTATTACTAAAGCTCTGAGGAGTTCTGGTGGACAACAGGATGCCCACAAGCCAGCAATGTGCCCTTGTGGCCAAGAAGGCCAAGGGCATCCTGGGGGGCATCAGGAAGACCATGGCCAGCAAGTGGAGGGAGGTCATCCTGCCCCTTGGCTCTGCCCTGGGGAGGCCCCAGCTGGAGCACTGGGACCAGTTCTGGGCTCCCCAGTTCCAGAAGGACAGGGAACTGCTGGAGAGGGGACAGCAGAGGCTACAAAGATGATGAGGGGCCTGGAGCATCTCTCTGCTGAGGAAAGGCTGAGGGACTTGGGTCTTTTGAGTCTGGAGAAGAGAAGGCTGAGGGGGGATCTGATCAACACCTATAAATCCTTCAAGGGTGGGTGTCAGGAGGATGGGGCCAGGCTTTTCTCAGTGGTGCCCAGGGACAGGACAAGAGGGAACGGGCACAAACTGGAACATGGGAAGTTCCATCTCAATGTGAGGAGGAACTTGTTTGGTGTGAGGGTGGCAGAGCCCTGGCAGAGGCTGCCCAGAGTGGTGGTGGAGTCTCCTTCTCTGGAGACATTCCAAACTTGAGCAGAGCAGGATTTGAGGACTTTCAGCAAAATACAGAGCATGGAGCAATGGAAAACTTTGATTTATATTCTACTAGGCTCTTGTTTTCTTTCACTTACCAGCGCTTCATCCGTGCACTGAAAGACGTAGCAAACGAAGTGAAAGCCTCCGTTTTCTGAAGACTCTCTGCAGATGAACCCAAAGTGATCCACGTGTCTGATTCCCTACACAAAACCAACAGCCATGAAGCAGTCAGATTTATCTTCAATGTTTTATACCTGTATTTTTTCCAGTAACAAAAGCCCAAAAGGCTCAAGAGCATTAGAGATAAGTCACGTAACTCTGTTCTGCTACATTGAAGTCATCCAGCCATTAAAAATCTATTTGTTAGAGAACCTATTGCTTCATGAATCTTTTAAATTTCACTTAAGTCATCCGTTGTTTGTTGGGGTTTGGGGTTTTTGATGGGTTTTTTATTATTATTTTTTAATGAACAAATAATAATAATTCCATTTGAAAACACAGGGATGAAGAAATACTATTCAAAATATATTTTCCTCCATATTGGAAACAGCAGGTAAAAAGGCTTCTCTTTTGCTTAAGTGGTTGATAATTGCTTTATATTTGTAAAAGCAAATCAAAGCAATAATGAAAAATGGATAAACAATTTTCTTTTTCCATCTAAAAAAAATTACGGCTAGTTAAAAAATGAAAATTGTTAAATATATTACTTAAATGTCACTCATGGAAGCATTTATTTCTCCTAAAAGGCATGCAAATTCAGGCGCAATCTACTTGCAGCAGCAGATGAACAGTACAGCCTGGTAAATTTCTGAAAAGACTTTCTAATGAGTAGATTTAGGTGATCCCAGTGGTAAAAAGAAACCAACCCAGTGGTAGAACCTATAGATAAAAACTCGTTTACACCCAGCACCATTTTACTACCTTCCAGCTGTCCTGGCACAATAATATTACAGTCAGGTAAAGAGAGGCAATAAATTGCATCAAAAATCGTAATAATGAATCACAGTAAGTCAGAAATTTCAGTGAGATTTAAACAATCTGAACATGCCAAGCAGGACTTTTTTGTGTGTGGTTTTTTTTCTTTTCCTTGTTACTACAGCAAGAATCTCTGAATATTCTCTTTTTTATCATTAAGAAAACATTAAAAAAAGCATTTAAAAAGCATAAAAAGTGAATACTTCTATAAACCAGAATGGCCCAGTGTCCCCAGAAGAACATGCTATAGCATCAGACACCCTTAAGCAATCCAAACAATGTCATCTTATCATTTGAAATAAAACTTTGAAATAAAAGGCTCTGGGCTGTTTCATATCAGCTAATTCAGATACTGCCCCATGACCACGGAATTCTTTCTGCCCTGATGGCTTGGGCATTCAGGAAATTAAGGACTGATTCTGATCTCCCTTGAAATTTAACTCTAGTGCCTTCAAGAAAAGATTAATTATTAAAGATCTTGTATGCAAACTACTTCTGTTTACTCTGAAATGTTCAGAATAGGCACCTGTATGTTGAGTGCTCAAAGTGATCCTCATCAAGAAGTCACTTATGAAAAGCATATTTTGAAAGTTATATTCATATTTATGAATATTATAAACTGTCCTCATCAAATTAACAAAGTAATTTAGGGAAAAAAATAGCAAACAAAGCTAGAAGCAAATAACAGCAAATCATATTCCCTGCATTTAAAAATGAGTAAATAAACCTATTGAAACAACAACAAAAAAGCCCAATATTTGTGCAATATTATTCAGCCCAGAGCCAGTGATGCTATACATGATGATGGTATACAAGGTCTTACTCCTCCCCAAGCCCCCCAGTACAAACAAGCATTGCACTGGTTTAAATTCCAAGTGACTTTTTAGTTAAACTAGCAGGAACGTCCATTCCTCAAGAAATGTAAGGTTATTTATATAATTACAGCTCAGTTTAATTTCTCAGAGGTTTAAACTAAAATGATCTACTACAGGTTTTAAAGGAATTAAGTGTTCTCTGAGGATTCTATCCCAGTTTAATGAATGAAAATAAATTACTCCATTAATTTAAACTGAATCAAATCTGGTCCAGAGACAAACTTAAATACACATAATGCCCGACGGGACAGCCAACAGCTCGGGAAAGACAAATCCCTGTAGCACAACACTGGTTAATTAATGAAACATTCAACGAAGGCAAGTGTAGGATCATGCACCTCAGGAGGAATAACCCCCCACACCAGTATGGGTTGGGGGTGACCTGCTGGAGAGCAGCTCTGCAGAGAGAGACCTTGGAGCCCTGGTGGACAACAGGATGCCCAGGAGCCAGCAATGGGCCCTGGTGGCCAAGAAGGCCAAGGGCATCCTGGGGGGCTTCAGGAAGAGTGTGAGCAGCAGGTGGAGGGAGGTCATCCTGCCCCTCTGCTCTGCCCTGGGGAGGCCCCATCTGGAGCACTGGGACCAGTTCTGGGCTCCCCAGTTCCAGAAGGACAGGGAACTGCTGGAGAGGGGACAGCAGAGGCTACAAAGATGATGAGCGGCCTGGAGCATCCCTCTGCTGAGGAAAGGCTGAGAGCCCTGGGGCTATTCAGCCTGGAGAGGAGCATACAATTTACCTAATGACTTATTTTGAGTGGTGATGTCTTCAAAGAGCTGCAGCTTGGACACATGAAGATGTGGCAGTGACGTTGCCCAGGTTCACAGGAGTGTGACTCACTCTCAGCTACAGCAGCGGCTCAGTGGCGTCAGGGCACAATAGTCACCCTCACATGGAGGACATGGGACACGAATGGGTCCTGGCTACAGGAGCTTTCACAGAATCACAGAATGCTATGGGGTTGGAAGGGACCTCTGGAGATCATCTCCTCCAACCCCCTGCCACAGCAGGGTCACCCACAGCAGGTCCCACAGGAACGTGTCCAGGCCGGGTTGGAATGTCTCCAGAGAAGGAGACTCCACCACCTCTCTGGGCAGCCTCTGCCAGGGCTCTGTCACCCTCACACCAAACAAGGTCCTCCTCCTGTTTAGATGGAACTTCTCCTGTTCCAGTTTGTGCCTGTTCCCTCTTGTCCTGTCCCTGGGCACCACTGAGAAAAGCCTGGCCCCATCCTCCTGACACCCACCCTTGAAGGATTTATAGGTGTTGATCAGATCCCCCCTCAGCCTTCTCTTCTCCAGACTAAACAGACCCAAGTCCCTCAGCCTTTCCTCAGCAGAGAGATGCTCCAGGCCCGTCAGCATTTTTGTAGCCTCTGCTGTACCCTCTCCAGCAGTTCCCTGTCCTTCTGGAACTGCGGGGCCCAGAATTGGGCCCAGTCAGTCCCCAACCTGTACTGGTGCATTACTTCATTATCATTTTTTGAAAAACACAGCTCAGAGCATCCCAGATTCGCACAAGTGTGAATCACACCCGCTGAAATCCCAAAGCAGAGCTGAGCAGGATGTTCCTTCTCTTACTATTCACCCACCGCACGCAGAAGTGAGTCTTTGTCTCAGAAATTACAACGCAGAGCATGAGAAAAGAATGAGGCGTTTACAAAATTGCTGATTAACTTGCAACTTGTCAACAGCAATTACTGAAACCGCCGGGGTGAGAATCCGTTTGAAGTGGTGGGAGAGAAGAGCACCTGAGCATTCACAAGCGGGGAATATTTAAACAAAATAAAAAAAAAAAGAAAGAGTACACCACAGTCTTACCTGAGAACAAAAGGATATTTCTTTAAAGCTTTTTTCAATTGCTACTTTTTTTGTGTCAGGACTGATGAGGTAAACTTCAGACTGGCCAATCTAAAAAGAGATAAATGGCAAGATAATAACAAGGAACATTACGCTTTCTTTTGTCTCGTTATAAAAATGTTTTGTGCACATAAATCTCATTATTTTTTTCTATCTGTATTTTTAGACCAATTAGTATATCATTACCAGGGAAAGAGAGAATACTGAAGCAACACTGATGTGGCATTCAGTGCACGTTACTGAACTGAGATTTAGCTTCATGTGTGAGACAAGAGACCGAGAGTAATGTTTAATTAGATGGGAGTAATATTATACCACAAGTAACTGACTTAGCACTGAGAAAACATTCTCATACTCCCTTTCCTTATTTTCTGCAAGCTTGGCACATAGCACGTTCCCAAAAGCCATTTAATTAAATTGTCCTAAAATTTAAATCCAAGCGTGTGCCTGTATTCCACCTCATTATATTTTAGGGATTTACTTATTTAATTAAGACACACATAGCAATTAATTTCAAGACTTTAATTCAAACCATAAAAATGAGTGTACTGGAAAGTATTTTCTAATTTTATTTAATCTGTAGGTCATTTGTACAGCCCTGACCCAAAAGCTGCTGCTAACTTCTGAGAGGCAAAGGGCATTTTAAAGGTGAAACTATTGTTTTCAATTTTTCAGCTTCTGGCCATGTCTTTGCAACATTTTAACAGCTAGAAATTTAAATTCTTCAAAGTTTCTAGCATATCAGAAAGTCTACTAAGGACACGTCTCTCATCAGATTTTAGAGAAGATGGGTGGAATCTGGATCCATTAATGACTTGGTGCCAGGGCAACAGGGACCATCAGAAGCCAACCGAACCAGGGAAGAAAACCCAAACAATACACCTCTCTCCTCCCCACAAAATACAGTCAGGAGAAAAGCCTAAAAATAAACATAATTTTTAAGAAAAAACTACAAACCACCCCAAATCCTAAAAAATTAGCTTGGAGAGCAGTTCTTCAGGAAGAGATGCCAAAATTGGGCCTGTCTGAATGAAAACCAGCACTAACCCAGGTCCCTCAACACCATGTCTGCCTGGCTTTTAAATACCTCCAGGATGGTGACCACCACCAGGTTCAGACAGCTGGGGAGACCTTCTCGCTCCCTACAACTCCCTGAAAGGAGGGTGTAGCCAGGGGGGGTCGGTCTCTTCTCCCAAGGAACAGGCCATGGCCTCTTCCAAGAGGAAATGGCCTCAAGTTGCACCAGGGGAGGTTTAGGATGGATATTAGCAAAAATTTCTCCACTGAAAGGGTTACCAAGCTCTGGACCAGGCTGCCCAGGGCAGTGGTGGAGTCCCCATCCCTGGAGGGATTTAAAAGCCGGGCAGACGTGGAGCTGAGGGACATGGGTTAGTGATGGGTTTTGTCAGGGTTGGTTGATGGTTGGACTCAATAATCTGAAAGGTCCCTTCCAACCTGGACAATTCTGTGATTTTATGAATTGAGGAAGTTGAGGAGAGTCAGCAGATGATTCACATGAATGTTTGTCACACTTCATAAACCAACCACCCTCTGCTACGGTCCTGTGGGAAATCCAAGTAAGTCTACTGGCCCCCAGTCATGGTTCTGTCCTGCTCTAGTTACAGGTAACTCATCCACCTGGAAAGTTATTCCTGCTGTTACTAGTTAGTGTAATTGTATGGAACGTTTTACAATTGTATAAATACCTACTACCTTGCTGCACCTTTCTAAAAGCTGTCTTTAGAAGCCCAACTTCTCAGGTAGTGCCATTTTAAACTACTTAATATAAGCTTATTTTGAGTACATAAAACAATTTACACTGACTGGTAATGCTTTCTAAAGAAACAGGCGAGTTTAAATGAAACTCTGGTAATTGCAATTAAGTTATTAAAGAGGTAACTGCCATCTTTTAGAACACGTGCTTTGGTGTTTGCCAGTCCAAACTCCACGATGTGAGAACAGCCACCGAGAGCTGCAAATCTTGCTTTACCGTAAACAACATCGTCCGGTTTTCTGCAATGTCCGTCGGCTGCACAACGCTGTGTCCATAGAGGAGTTGACCTTTGAGGTTGAGGGAAATCGCATCCTCTTCAAAGGACCTGATAAAGCTGTTACTCCTATGGCTTCCCTCCTGCAAATCCTTCTTAAAAGCAAAGGAACGAAGCCCGGGTTGAGAAAAAGATTTCCTCATCGGCCTTTTCTCCTCTTCTTCGCCGACCAAGGGTTGGAAGACGGACCGAAACTTGGTGCTGAAAGAGAAGCCTCCAAAGTTATTGGCAGTTTCATGTTGTTGGGATGAGGAGTTGCAATCCGATTGTTTTGTACAACTGGCACGATTGAACTTCTCAATGCATTCATCGATGAGTGCTGGGGGGGCGTTTTTATGCGCCACCGTCACCCGGCCGCAGAACAGCACCTCGAACTTTTTGGCAAAAGGGTCTTCAACGTCTGAGAGGTTGTTCTGAAACTCTTCTTGACGAGCAATTTTTCCAGCTTGTCGAATTGAGCTTATAATCTCAGGCACCTACAGGAGGGGAGGGGGGGGAAATACACAACATTAGCATCTAGTGCTTTATTACAAAGACACAAGGCACTTAATTTTCTAGCTATTTTTCTGGAATGGCTCCTCAGAGGTCCCTTCCAACCATGAAGATTCTGTTTTGATTTTTGAAAGACCACCTGAAGTGATCTTGTCCAACAGACATGTTATAAAAGTTAAATGCTGATGAGATGAACTGCTCGTTTCTGTCCCGGCCAGGAGTTCACCAGCACCAACGCTTTGTCAGAAGAGCATCCTCTCTTGAAACACCCTACGTTTGCAGTAAAACTTCTGCACGTGAAGGAATCAGTTTAAAATGACAAATTCAAACTCAAAAGGAAAGGTAAAAATACTTCAGAAAGAGTAAGAGAAGCCACAGACTAATTAATTGGGAAAGTTTTTTAATCTCAGTTATTTTTCACTCCCACCTCTTACCCAAGCATTCATGCCATGTACATTAATGAGTCCCTTGAAAATTTGCTCTCACCTTCATAACAGCACGTTACATTGTTAGGGCAGTTCAGTGTTTGACATTTGGGATTGGGCTTCTTTTAACTGTAAATTACTGTGTTTTTTAAAGAAACATATTCATTATTTTAGATATTCATTTTTTTATTCTACTATCCTACTTGACACTCTCAAATGTGTCTGCATCCTGTGTCAGCAGTGTGGCCAGCAGGGCGATGGGGGGGGTTCTGCCCCTCTGCTCTGGGGAGACACCCCCCCAGGGCTGCCTCCAGCTCTGGGGCCACCAACAGCAGAAGGACACGGACCTGTTGAAGCAGGGCTGGAGGAGGCCATGGAGATGCTGGGAGGGCTGGAGCCCCTCTGCTGGGAGGACAGGCTGAGAGAGTTGGGGGGTTCAGCCTGGAGAAGAGAAGGCTCCGGGGAGACCTTGGAGCCCCTTCCAGTCCCTCAAGGGGCTCCAGGAGAGATGGGGAGGGACTCTGGATGAGGGAGGGGAGCGATGAGAGCTTATGGTCTTAAACTGACAGAGGGGAGATGGAGCTGAGATGTGGGGAAGAACTTGTTTGGTGTGAGGGTGGTGAGAGCCTGGCCCAGGTTGGCCCGAGAAGCTGTGGCTGCCCCATCCCTGGAGGGGTTGAAGGGCAGGTTGGAGGGGGCTTGGAGCAACCTGGGCTGGTGGGAGGTGTCCCTGCCCAGGTCAGGGGATGGCACTGGATTTTCTCTAAGGTCCCTTCCAACCCAAACCATTCCATGATTCTAGGATTCTCTGAAATAATATTACTTCCACACCTGCGTAACAGTCTGTGACAGCCCACCGATGTTGTAAGTATAAAGAAAACCCAATCTGCCATCTGATTTATTTGAATTAATAGAAAATGGTCACGATTTCTGCTATGGTTACAAGGTGGGAACATGCAGGATTTATCTGGTAAGATGCTGCAATACCCCATTATTTTGATTTTCCAGGAGAGTGTGGTTCTTCTGCAGCAAGCGCTGCTGCCATACCAAAAAATGCAGGGCCACCACCCAGGATTACAACAGATAATTCTGTCAATTTTTTAACTCCCCCCAAATTACTTGGAGAAAAACAAAAAAATCCATGCTCAGTTTCCTCTGCCAGTTTCCTGACAAAATAAATTTCCTCTGTCAAGCATCAGTTGGAACTTGCTTACTTGAAAGTACAGAAGGAACAAACAGGAGCCCAGAAGAAACATCTCCCCCTATAAGAAAAGGCAACTCTAAACCTAAAAAATGCTTTGGAGACACGACCTTTTTCTTTTTCAGACATTCCTATGGTTATCTAATGGCTAAACATAAGGCAAAAATGCACTTAAACCAATGCAGGAAACAGCAAAGGTCTCAGAGGTAAAAAAAAAGGCTGAACAGAGAAAAATATTTCTCTGTTCTAGGTGCTCAGTAGGATTCTATTTATAGACAAGAAAGCACAGATTTATAGATAAGGATGGATAGATGTATGTGCACACACATATACAGCTAGTGGATTTAAGATAGTAAGTACCAGACTACAAAATAAATAACTAAGATGAGTCAGGAAGCATTACTTCACCCTTGAGCGTGAGCCGTGAGTCATGGGCACAGACAATGGGGCAGAAAAATCAGGGTCACGACTTCAGGAGCCTGTTCTTGGCATCATCATGGACCACGTGGAAATCCTTGGGCTGGGGCAGCCTCCTGCCTGACTTTTTCATCACATACAAGAATAATTTAAAGGTAAAACAAATCACCTCAAATGATACGTATTTGCTCCACAGTGAGCTCAAGGTTCACAGTTTTATTTACCTAACAGTCCTTCAAAGAACCAATTTTTAGTCACGTAAGGTATCAGGATGTGCCTTTGTGGCCAAGAAGGCCAAGGGCATCCTGGGGGGCATCAGGAAGACCATGGCCAGCAGGTGGAGGGAGGTCATCCTGCCCCTCTGCTCTGTCCTGGGGAGGCCCCATCTGGAGCACTGGGACCAGTTCTGGGCTCCCCAGTTCCAGAAGGACAGGGAACTGCTGGAGAGGGGACAGCAGAGGCTACAGAGATGATGAGGGGCCTGGAGCATCTCTCTGCTGAGGGGGGATCTGATCAACGCCTATAAATCCTTCAAGGGTGGGTGTCAGGAGGATGGGGCCAGGCTTTTCTCAGTGGTGCCCAGGGACAGGACAAGAGGGAACGGGCACAAACTGGAACATAAGAAGTTCCATCTCAACGTGAGGAGGAACTTGTTTGGTGTGAGGGTGGCAGAGCCCTGGCAGAGGCTGCCCAGAGAGGTGGTGGAGTCTCCTTCTCTGGAGACATTCCAAACCCCCCTGGACATGTTCCTGTGGGACCTGCTGTGGGTGACCCTGCTGTGGCAGGGGGTTGGAGGAGATGATCTCCAGAGGTCACTTCCAACCTAAACCATTCTGGGATTCTGTGTGACGACAGGAAAATATAAAACTTAATTCTACCCGTATTTCAAACTGCAACTTTTTTAGCATTTTCTAATAAACACATATTTGTGTGGACTCACCAGGCCCAGGGAACTTTATTACACAGAGACCTGCAATGCTCAACTAAAGCCCAGACACCACATTTGGCATTGGTCACAGGTTACTGGATTTGGGTTCTTTGATGTTTTTTGTCATCAAATCAAACTGCAACTTTTTTAGCATTTTCTAATATACACATTTTCCTCTTGGTGGAGTGTCTGGACTCACCAGGCACAGGGAACTTTATTACCCAGAGACCTGCAATGCTCAGCTAAAGCCCAGACACCGCATTTGGCATTGGTCACAGGTTACTGGATCTGAGTTCTTTGATCCTTTTCGTCATCAAACACCATGGAAATCTCAAAATTGCTCTTCAGCAGTGGCTGGCCTTCAGGTACGTCAGGAGTTAAAGACACTACATGTCACAGAATGACTTTTGCAATAGGTAATAAACTCCACGTTTGAGGAGACCTCATGGGCCCATTGATGAAAGCCCCAGGGAGTACTTATTTATGTATTTTCACACCAGCTAAGGCTTGAATTACGTCATTTATAAGTAAGAGCTGGCTTCCCTGCCACACTTACTGAAAAACACTGACTCCTCTGTTCCTGCTTATTCTCCTCAAAAAATTCACAGCCTGTTAATGTAGTTTTATTACTTCTGATTAGGCAACGGGTGCAGTGTAGCTGTAGCAGAGGCAGCAAATCTCTGCCTCAGCTTCCTCTGACCCTCATATATGTTAAACATTAATCTATTTTCATTAGTAAAGATAAGATGCCATGACAAATAGGGAATAAAAATCCAAAAATGCATATTTCCCTGGAACTGGTCTTGGCCTGATCAAGATTTGTGCTCTTTTCCTGTATCATTCCAGGCCTTTTATACAAGTATCTAGAGATGAAGAATCCACACAGACCTGTGTGACCTCTGAGCCTGGGTCCCTCAGAAAACAGACCTGGATGCTCAGTACATAAAGAAAAAAAATAATCTGTGAAATGTAAATAAATATATAAATATACTATAATTATTTCAAATTATTAACATAAGCAGTGTAGGCTTTATCCTGGCACACGTTTCTTAACCCTAGCTGGAATTTTTCCCATTCAGCAGCATGCCACTGGGCAAACAGCAACCACATCTCTTGTGAACCTCCAGCAATTAATTAAGATGTAAAAGAGATCAGGTTTGATGGCTCTTCAATTTGTATCAAAAAGCAGCAGGGCTCAAGTTGCCGCTGAATTAAGTTGATGTTGCTTGGAGGTGTTTTGAAAGGTTGTGGGGTTCTTTCTGAACATTAAAAAAAAAAAAAAAGGACTTTTTTATTGTAAGGGTACCCAACATCTCCTATAGGTGATTGTTTCTACTCATCTAACTTGCTAAGGCAGTGGGGGATCACAGGGTGAATCACAGAGACATGGGGTTGGAAGGGAAGCATGCCAGAAAAGAGAATTTCTGCAGCAGGAAGAGCAACAGCCCCCCAAAGATGCTGAAAAGTGAGGGGTGATGGGGCCGAGACTCCAATTTTGCAGGGATGCGTGTAAGAAGATGGTGAACAAGAGCACACTGAAATTCAAAGGATATTCCATGTGGGGCAGAAGACAGTCATCTCATTCAATCCAGTTCTTTTTGACTTGGAGCATGGTGTGTGAGTGTGTAGTGGCCTCCGAGATGACCCTGATGCCATAAGCACCGGGAGCAGAGCTCCACGGAGCCAATTCCTACTCTTAAATTTTACACCTTATCATAAAAAAAAACATAAAGGGTACTAGAGCTCCTGTATTAATTATTGAGTGCTACCTCCAGAAGATTGCAGAGTAAGGCAGAGCGATGCCACGAGTACTTTATGCCACTTCCACGGTATCACATTCCTTTTAGTATTACAAATCTCAGCTCAAGAACCTTCCTCGTGACTCCTAGATGGAAGAGGTCAGACCTTTTGCAGAGTCATTTGAATTGGAGAGCACTGCCTGCAACTCAGAGAGGCACAAAAAGGTTTTCATCCCTTTCTGAAAAAACCAATATTTGCAGAATCTGTTTATAG